GGCGCGGGGGGGGGGGTTAAAGAGTGTGCCTTATTTTGTTCCATTGCCACTGGGGGAACTTTGAGCCACCGAAACCAACGACCAGAAAATTCCACGGGAAGCTCACCCAACACCCATCAAAAACAGGGGTTGTGGCAAGCTTTGTCTGGAACTTCCTGTAGCTCATGTCTTGGATTGAGTAACCAATAAACAAGTCAAAGCAAAGTACATTCGACTGCTTGGGAGTGTTGGGTTGCTCCGTGTTTTTGTAACCTAGAACCATGATACAGGCCAAACAATCAATATCCAACGATCAACCAAAGTCCCCCCACTAAGCGGGTCCAACTGAGACCAATCCAAGCTACTCAGGGAGCCCACGTGGAATGCCGCTAATAAATCTGGGCTGTTCAAAGGGAATCCTTAATCATAATCCTTACCTTGGGTTACGCAAGGCGTCCCCTTTGTAGTGGCTTCCCTATAGGGGTTTTGGATTAGGATTGGCCAAGCCTTCATTTTGAATAGCTTTTAAATTCATGCTTTGGGCTGGAGCTCAGTCACTCGGAGACTAAATGATTCATGTGCAAAACTGAAGTCTACTTTCCCATTGGCCCCGCCTCAGGATAATTCCCTGTACGTGTTTTTGACCAGAAGCTGCTGGGCTACTTGATTCGGATTTCGGGTTCCCTTTGCGAAGGATCACAACCTCAGGCTCCAGCAGCTTTGCCACAGGCAAAAAACCCGGAAGCTCGAAGCTCGCCAAAGGGTTTCGGGCCACCAGAAACCGGCTATGGCGAATTTGAGTTAGGTTCGTGCAGTTTGCGGGGAGAACTTGCGAATGTCCCACAAAGGGAACTCACAATCCCATGTCCTCTTGGAACCACCTTCGTACTTTAGATCCTGTAGAATCTCCCGCTTGCCCAAAGCGAATGACCTTTCAGTTTCCCTTTGGTCCACTTTTAGCCACGCCCCAACAGGTTAGCCCTGTATTTCTGGGTCCTTCGGGCAAGTGGGATCTTGACAACTATGCTGTCGCAGCCGCGCGCCCGCGGCTATCACCCTGCTTTCCGACTTAGCAGCAACGGACGGACGGAATCTGACAAGTAGGGCACTGGGTGCCTAATCGCCCTGGACTTTAATGTTTTAATCCCTCATACCCAAAACCTTGCCGTTTGAGGTCTTTGGGGCTCTTTGATGCCCTCACATTTCGGGTCTTGGGGCCCTTTGAAGCTGGACTAAACCACAGGAAGATGTGTAACTTGATTGTTTGTTTTGCCTGACCCCCTGTTCAATGCGCAGGGCAATGGTTTGTGATAAGTGGGATAACTGAGGTTTACATAAGTTTACCGCCTCCTTTGCAACAACCTTGCCTGATCGTGTTGAGCATCCCACTAAATAAACCTGTTGCGAAGCATTAGGCCGCTAAAGTGTGATCGAGCTTCCTTTCAGTTTGGGTTTTGGCACCCTTGAAAAGCGGTCCCAACCAATTTGGTAGATGTGGTTTCCAGTTGCCGATTTCTGTCAAAATCCCTAAGCAACAGGGTTATTGATCGAAATCCCTCTTTGGTATCACAGAACCGGTTATTTCTCACAACAAAGAAGAAACTGAACAAGTTCTCGGCTAAATCACAGCCGACCGAAAGCCCGGATCCCTAGGCTGGGGAATCACTAGGCACAATCAGATAGATTTTTGCGAATTGTTGATTTGATGTTGGCCTCCTGTTGCACATATAGGGGTCCCAAATTGTGTAGCCCGAATAGATTGATTAACAGGCTGCAACATTTGCTGCCGAACAATGGGACTTGGGGTATGCCTGGAATGCAGCTGGGACCTGATTTTACGGGAATATCAAGTTTGGGTAGGCGTCTATCAGTTTAGCAGGTGTTTGCTGGTGGTATTTTCGGTCACTCACATCGCGTGTCTAATGACTTGCTTGTCATTTTGTTCCTTCAAATATGGTCACTACAAGAGTGGAACATTGGATGCATTTGGTCAAGCGACAACAACATAGTTGGCAAATTTATTGCTAGCCTACTCTCCGTTTGGGGAGGACGTAGGGGCGGAACCCCAAATTCCCACAATATCCAGGGGCATTACCCCATTGTGTCCGTTGCTCAACTAATGTCCGAGGGTACAAGACGATTCGTTGATGCAGTTTTTCGACATGTTCGAACGACGCGGATGTGTTTTGCGCTTCAGACGCGTGCGCGTCTTGAATTTCGTTGTCCGCACCCGCTTTGAAGTGGCGATGAATTTGAATGGACAAGAGACCCTCAATGGCAACCACCCCCATGGACATGATGTCCACCAAAGATTCCCCATGTAGAGGCATACAACGAGACGACCCTCATGCTCACACATTGTTATACATCACCAACACCAAACCATCCCCACCTCCTTACAAGTGGAGTTTGAGGAGGAGGGTGAGTTGTGGAATTTCATTGTTTGTTGCGTATTTTTTTGGGCCTTGCATATGGGTCACTAGATACATTGTAATATAGAGTCCAACCCATTCTTGACAAGCTCATCCACGTCAAAGAAGACCGACACACAGGCGCCGCTGTTAGTATGTTAGTGTGCAGAGCGGAATCAAGAGGTGCAAGAGAGGGGGTTCGTTTCGGTGTCGCCTTGAAAGGGCGGTGCAAGGAGGCACGAAGGTCCAAACGGGGGCAATCTGGTTCGGGCAAGAATCGGCTTCAAGCCATCAGATTCTATTCTTCTGGCACAGGTTGAATGAGCAGTGGCTTGAACCAGACCCATTTGCTGACCTCAAGGGATCTATGGAAACACTGAAACTCTTGACTTTTCAATTCGGATTGCGACGGCACGTCAGCTTCATCGGTGCACCGCGTCAGACAGGTGCAAGTGGCCCAACAAATCTAGGGTTGCAAGAATCCCAGCCAGAGGAAACTGCAAGGGCATGCAAATGCATCAAGCAGATGGTGTTCATGGAAACTGCATACATCGATCAGCAAATGCAATTAGACAATTCATCTCTCCTCGGTGACTGAGCCACATTGTAGAGCTGCGTTCGAAATCTCAATTGCTCATAGGGAAAGCCGATTTACATGGATTTACCTATGAGCACAGGATGTGGCTCGTTTGCTTTCTATACTTGGCGCTTTACACACTTTTGGCTTTTTACAGTTTAGTGGGATTTAGCACAGGTCCCAACAAAAGTTGACCTTTTAGCAAGCCATCAACGAACCACTAAGACTCTCTTCCAACACTTCCGGAATCCACTCCATGGGGTAGTCGTTAATCATGTAGTCGGGGATGATGCTTTCTTGATCAGCAATATCCCTTGCCAAGTGGATCACAGAGCGTTGCTTCGTGTAGTCGGGATTATAGGGCTTATAAGGAAGTAAAGCATTGAAACCATTTGGGGTCATAGCACATATGTAATGTGATTGTTTAACTAGCTGTCTCAAGCAGAGATTGACCACCCAAAGAGAACAATTGCTGTGAGACCAGACCTCAGCAAGTCATGAAGCAAGTCCAAAGTTACTTCAACAGGAGTGTCCCCCCCCCCAATGGAGATTCATGAAAACTTGCCATCAGTCTACATCTATGACATGCTCTGAAAGGCTAGTCCATGTTGGAGGGCGTGTCCCAAGCAGAGGCACAACTTGAAATTTGCCGATGCGAGCCGTCGAATCTCTGATACTTCTTTTTATCGGGGAAGAAGGGTTGACAGCGGATGCCCTGCCACCGCCGCCAAAGGCGGCGATGATTTCTGTTATGCAGGCGTCCCTGCCATAGTGGGAAATGCTCGGTTTTGTCTGTACCAAGGGCCTCCTCTTGGAAGTGAACCGACTGTCGGTCTCTTTGAAGTTCTCGCTTGAGCAGGTGTTTTTTTGGTTGTTTCCCAAGGGCGCCATTTGGTTTAGAATAATTTATGAGGGGTTCTAACTTCTAACGTATAGTCATGGGGATGTTGATTTGGTATGGCAGAATCGGTGATTTCCCAACATGCACAGGGCTGCCAGTCAGACCATGAGACCCGTTTTTGCTGCGCAGCAAAAACAGTGACACGCACATGTGCCTGGAATGATCTGCCTGAACCTTCCCACTCAAATCACACCCCACGCCAACATCAGGGCAGCTACTTGCTGGTGCTCAGCAGGGAATGACCCAGGGTGGGAATGAACCTAGAGATTCCCTTAAAGGAAACCGTAAGGAATTGAGGATTGTTTGTAGGGGTCATTCCATTTCTCGTTCCCTGCATTTGTCGCACCAGCAAGGCTAGGATACCATTCAACAGGTCATAGAAGGTGCTGAGCGGGTTTCAAGAAGTTTTGGCATGCCACCTTCAGTCAGGACCTTCAGTTGGGATGCGGCTCATTCGCATTCAGCCATTTGAGAGACTTAGTCTGTTGGCGGAATTGTGAGTCACGAACCTTGGAGGACGGGTTGTGGGTCCGCTTAAATTCAGGACGAACTGCGTTTGAAAGTGTGGGGCACTTTCCCGCAAAGTCAACCGTTGATCGATTTCGGAAACTGTGCCGAGCACAGACCCTTGCAAAGGCGGTTTTGGTGCTTGAAGAGAGAAATCTCTGTGTCTATACCAATGGTTAAAGCTTTACATGACATTGGGAAGACCTCTAATAAGATGAAACTTTCAACCACTAAACGGGAGAAACAAAACACCATGAAAAGAGGCTGCCCATTGTTTCCCCATTGGGGGATGATAACTAAAATCGAAAAGCAAGGGACGAAACACTAATGTGTCCATGGTCCCCTGTTGGTTTTTCTCGGGAATCTACCACTGATGGACATGTTGAGCTTTTTTTCACGAAGACGCCTTTACGCAAATGGAGACAATGGAATCGCCGGAGGGTCCCAGTACTCCATGCGTTCCCAATTCTGGGTTTGCTCAATGGGGAAGGTCATGAGGGCATGTGCGATACTTGGACACCAAAGTCATATGGGGGTGTTTTCTTGGCTGAGGGTACTCCTTTTGTGTTTTTTTCAGGGATACGAGCAAACCGTTGCGCCATTTCGGGGGTGTCGTGTTTTGCAGGCGGCAGAGGAAAGGCCGGAGATGTGACGGCCGCTCGAGTTTCGGAGGATCCTCGTGCTCCGCCAGGGGGCCGTTAAAGGTAACCACTTTTTGGGTGGTGGAAAAGACGGGAATCAGAGGCAACCCTGAATTTCTGAATGGGATGGTGCTACATGATTCATTGTTGATTTCTCCCAAAGGCAAGCACGAGGGAACCATGTGAAATGTGTTTCCAATTTCACGCCCAGAGCAGTGAAAGTTCCGGAGCTGAAGGCTGATCTTAGAGTGCCTGGGTGATAGGTGTCCTTTTCAGGCAGTTTGGTTGAACCTTTGCTGGCACTGGGTTTTGAAAGTGTTTTTTTCCCGCCCGGTTTCGGAGGGTTCCAAAGGTAGCTTGGGATATCAACATGTTGTTTCTTGATCAGCAAGTCCCATAGTTTCTCAAATGACGCCTGTCTTTTTGTTTGTTGCGTCTTTCGTTTTTTTTTTTTTTTTTTTTTTTTCTTTTTTTTTCTGGAGGGTACCTTTTTCTGATGGCTTTCAATGGAAACCCCAGCGCCATTTTGTGGAACCCGTCCCAAGGGACCGGAGTCCAACAACGTCTTGCCAGGGCGCTGCCGAAAGCTTTGGAGGCGGCGGAGCGGCGGTTTGCGGCGGTTTGCGGCGGAGCGGCGGTTCCCATTTTGCTGGCCATGGCCAGTGACAAGTTTTCAGCTTCACTGTTCTTGGATCAAGTTCTTGTTTGTAGTTCTTTGCATGTTTAGGGGGCTGCACAAAAACAAGAACATGCTACAATATCAAGGGTTGTGAAGATAGGGAATGGATCCCATGGTATCACAAGGACGATGTTCCTCAACCATGGTGGGCAATGGTGTGACTCGTTGTTGGTGGCAATTTTAGGGGTTGGTTTTCCCACTTCTGTAGTACCAGGGAAACCATCTCGGTGGAATAATTTGCAATTTGACAGCCCTCTGACGGTAGTGTGGATGGACAAACTTTTGCACCAGCTGGGATGAATCAAGCCCTACTTGATACACCACCTAACCACTGGTGCATTTTCTGGACTTTGTCCATTCACATCAGAGAAGTTACTCCCAGAGCCCTGTGTGTTCTTGGTGCTTTGGTGTCTCTTCAGCGCGCGAGTCTTTGTCGGAGCCATCGCTTTTGGTTTTCCGAACTGTTCGGGTCAAAGCGAATCGACCAGATCTAGCCAGATCTGAGTCTCCTGTAGCTCAGGTGTTCAGCGGCACCAATTTGTTTGTCCCTTTCTTTTGGGTGGCTGCCCCACTAAAAATGGTCTTCCCCAGCATTGCTGGTGAATGGCTGCTTGTTTCGCTCAATGCAGCTGTTCGTTCCGCCTGTAGACGCGCGCGGGGACGGGCCCAGCCATTCTTGCCATTTGTGCTCCTTCCGGGGAGAAAGACGCTCTTGCCTTGTGGAACACGAGCGAGTCTGTCACGTTGATAGTTACCGCTACACTTGCGGCAAATACTTCGCGAGCAGCGTGTCTTTGAGGCAACACGCAATAGTTACGAGACATGAGATCAGCATTGCGTTTAAGCTCTGGAGAGTGATGGCTGCGATGGAGGACATCATGAAGGAGTCGTGTCTTTGCTAGATGCATGGGATCTGTAACTTCGATCAGTGGATGAGATTGCTCAATCAAGCTTGATGTATCCCACAAAATGGTGAGTCTTCCTTTTGGTTTCCCTTTAATGTCACAAACAAGTGGGTACCAACTCCAAAAGGACGAACCCAAATCCGTTCTTTCCGGGTCCTGGTTCGTACCGCACCCCGAAACCAGACCGTGTCAACAGTGCCGATTTTGGGGCCGCAAATTCCAGGGCCCGGGTTGCGTTCCGTGCTTGTTGGTGCCTGAAAAGAAACTAAGCTCTTACATGATTGAAACCAGTATGCCGTGTGGGCAAGGGGCACAGGCTGGGGCTCTAGGCAAGACAAGCTGAGGCATGCATGTTAGATGGTGTTTGAAGGGAAGATAAGAAGGACTCCGACCAGTTTTAGGTCCCCGCACCATTTGCGGGCGCTGCCTATGTTGCAAACACGCAACTCCAGAAGCTAGCAGTCATACTTCACAGGCACCTTGGCACTTCGAGTTTTTGGTCTGCATGTGTTATTTTGTATGATCAAACTTTGTGATGGGTGTTACGTGTTTTGCATTCTATCGCCGTCAAACAAACTGTTTCGAAGCGGTCTATGTCCACGGCTGGTTGGCGACCTAGGGTTCCCCATAAAGGTTTTGGGGGCCGCCCCAGCATCCAGCACCCTTGCTTAGATGGTGCATGAGCTAGCTGAGTGTTTGGCAAGCCCCAGTCACAATTTCTACCCTAACCCCACCCAACCAGAACAAAGCCACAACCTAAGGGCGCTGCTAAACCAGCCAAAGCCTACCCCCTGTGAAATACACGTAACTAGAACAACTAGCAGTTTGTGTAAAAAAACCACCACAGGAACCCAAGCACAGACAAAGAATCACTACGAACAAGACGCTGAAACCTCAGGACCATCCACAAGGGTGCTTTGGTTCCTTGTAAGGATGTACGTAATGACCCGTTTTTGGATGCCTTTTTTCGGTATATTCTCAGAAGCTACCCAGCGATCCTTTGCTTGGATGACAGTGGTTAAGATCAGCTAGAGCGCGGGCTGCAACCAGCATCAGGATTTCCAACCTACACAGAGTTTCTACACGATGGTATCAACCACCTGCGTGGGGTCATGCCTACCCGCGTTAATGGGACCCAAGACAGGAAGCTGTTGGAATGCTTTTCTGAAAATGGACATGGGATGTGAAACCCCGCAGAGAATCGACCCTTTGACCTTGTACCTTCCCTTTTTGGATCATGTTTAGTCAAGGTTCCAAAAAATGTCCCTCCAACAGAACATTGACTTAGCTCCCAAGTGGCAGGCTTGAATACTTTTTTTCCCCGGTTGCCACTTTGGCTCAAAGCAGGAACATGGGTCGGATCTCTTCAGGAAGAGGTCGTGGCTGGAGAAAGGGCCTCGTTGGGCCAACCCAGGCCAAGGTTCGCAGCAGTGAGGCGGAGCAGAAGCGCGAGCTCTGGCGGGACTTGGCTTTGAGTTTGATTGGGGTACCGCAAAACGCCGACTTAGATCTGTTGTTGGACGACCTCACTGTGAGCGAGCTCTCTCACTTCGTGAAGCGGGTCAGGGATGATCGGGAGCTCGCTCGCCGCCGGGAGGCAGGCTCTTTGTGGGTGGCTTTGGCAGACGTATTGCATCTCATTGCAACCGGCCAGGATTGCATCGTGGACTGACTTGGACTTGCGCAAGGCGCGTGCTCCTTTTGTTTGCCTTAGCCGTGCCACCTTCATAGTAAAACCCGGTAACTCATGACTCATGGCTAACACAGCTTCTTCAATTTTCACAGCCGGCTTGCCACCCGAAACCTGCGGCCTGCAATGCCATCCCGTGCACTCGCTCAGGCGGTTTCTGCTCACACGTTGGCTCGGAGCGAAGCCCGCTCGAACTTTGTCACGGCCTGAGTGAGGCATCTGCGCCATGGCTCTCCAGCAGCATTCCTTACATAGGCCTTGCCTCAAGACATGCCCAAAGTTCACAGCCTGAATAGGGGAGTGTGCCCATTTCAGCACACTCTTCAGCTTGCTTGTGCCGTGCTGGGCAGGTGACTGAGGGAGCAAGTGCATCACCCCACGCGCCGCTTGATCACTTCCGAGGCAACGCGGAAGCTTCTGCAGAGTGTGCGTGTATGTGACTTGAGGAGGGGCAATTTCACACTTGATCAGTGATGCGCCAGCCCCAGTGGTGGAAGCCATTCCCACAGCTTAAGCTGCTCCACAGGCTGTGACAAAGGTGCCACGGGCCTTTCCACGACAACACGCTCCCTGCATCACCCTTAGTGTGCGCGCAGTGGCTGTGGCGGTTTGAGGGTGGAAGACATGTCTTGAGACAAGGCAGCCCCGTGTGTGACCAAAACCGCCAGCAGGCAAACAAACAGCTCAGCCCCAGGTTGGCCTTAGCCGTGACACTTTCAGAACTTCAGGTGGCACTGTTGCTCACTTGCTTCAGGCTGCCCCGAAGCTCCCCCCTGGCGCGTTTCCAAGACAAGGTGCAAGCTTCTGCAGTTTATGTGTGAACTGCCACGCCTTCCTTTGTCGGCTTGTGCGTTGTAAATATTCTGCTCGATACTGATACTGCTGCTGCGCTTGCTCCAGGCGCCGACAAAGCCTCCAATGGCACAGGCAACTGGGAGTCAGGTGGGTTCAGGTTTTTGTCTACAAGCATGGCAGCGCTTTGTGACGCAGATTGGGTGACACCGGGCAAGCCCGCAACCATTTTTGATTTGGCAGGAAAGGGCCTTTTGTTCGTGGCCGTGGTCGAGACTGGGGCACCAACCGGCAAACTTTGTGCTCCAGCTGCGTGTGGCTTTCCAAACAAACCTGACAAGCCCTTTTTGTGGAAGCTTGCCCGCCGCAAGGGGGTACATTTTGGTTGGGGTTTTTCCTCAAAAAAAAGGCAACCCTTTTCTTGCCAATTGAAGAACCGGCAGCCATGCCTTTGACTGGCAGCGTTAGGGCAATGGAGGAGGGTGCAAGCGCGTAAGCGTAAGAGGTACGGCCCTCAGCTGTTGTGTTGTCGAGGAGCACCTTCCAAACTCACACCAGCCTTTGCCTTTGCAGCATGGCTATTGCCTTCAGTCACGGTCCAATTTCTGTTGGCGGCTGTTTTCACGGCAGTTTGTTGGCGCTCGCATTGATGTGTCAGCCGGCAGCCTTGCAACAATGTGTGCCTGGAGGGCGCAACTCCGAAGGTGTGCCTCGACCTCCGGCAGGCCACGTGTGGCTTGCCGCGCTTGACTTTTTGTGGCATCAGAAGGCACTCCCAGCCAACACATGCCCTCGCATTGCACTGACTAGTTTGGCTTGTCAAAGCTTTGGCAAGAGACACACGTCGGAGGTTCGCCTTGTAGAGCCAGCGCCTGGAGCGCATATTTTTCAGCGCTGGCGTGAACAAAGTCAGGCGCTCTCTGCTTGTGTGGCTGGGGGGGATCGCGTTGTGTGCCTGGCGTTGAAAACACAGTCATGTCAGAAGCCGTGTCCACCACCATCAGCCCCCAATTCAATTGCGCTGCAATCAGTGTAAATAATCCACACGGCGCGCTGCCAAGCGAGTTAGGCGCGTAAGCGGGGGGCTGTATCCTTTTCAACACCAGCAACAGCGGCATGTAGACACAGCAGCATCAGCAGCAGTAGCAGCAGCAGACAAGCGTGGGCAAGAAATATGGCAACAAGCTCAAGAACTGCACGTACAACCGCAACAGCGACGACAAGGCCGATTCGACGACGACAGCCACGAGCGCACGGAGGCCGCCAAGTTCTACAGTGGCACGGCTGACCGCGCAGCAGCTGCAGCAGCAGCAGCAACTTATAGCGCAGCAATATCAGCGTCAACAGGCATGCCAAGATTCAGAAGAACAATAGTAATAGCAACCCCCACGGCAGCAATAAAAGAACTGCAACAACCAAAGGCAAGAAGCAAGCTTCGCAGACGCAATAGCACCAGCGCGAACCACGCCGCACCAGTAACCACCTCACACCGCAGCCGCAGCCGCAGCTGCAGCACAGTGCAGCAAAACGTGAGGGGAGTAATATAACAAACTCAGCAGCCACACACAGGACGATGCCGAGCATGACAGCAGCAACAACAACAGAAGTAGCAACCCAACGTCAGCGAGAAGGGCGAGGACGCCGACGATGGTAACGACGGCCGCACCGACGACGGTCACCGACAACGAGAACAAGCGCGACAAGACAGCGCGCGCGCTGCGACGACTAGCCCCAGCAGCAAAAACAGCCGTGCCACCATCAAGTGCCAGCCAATCGCAGCCAGTTGCAACCGGGCCTCCAACAACGACGCCCGCCGTGCTGGCTGCAGAAACAACGCCCGTTGGAGCGTCGCCGCACCATTGCCGCCGGCTAACAACAGCAGCAGCGGCTTTCTAAGGGCCAGAGCAAGAAAAATCAACCAGTAACGATCGCTGCAACAACAACGACCAGGACGACCAAGCGCGAGGACGACGACCAGGACGAGGGCGACTACGAGGGCGAGGGCAGCGGCGACAACCACGACCGTAGCCAGAGCAAAAGCAGCAAGAGCCGCCGCAGCAGCAGCAACAGCAGGCAGCAACAGCAGGCAGCAACAGCAGCAACAGAAGGCAATCAGCAACGCAACAGCCACGCCCACAAACCAAGGCGCTGCCCACCAAGCGCAAAAAGCACCGACCGACAGAAACACACCAAGAAACAACACAACGCTACATGAACACAAATAAGAAACAAAAACAAGAACACATACTCCACATATGCACCGTTACTTGCAGTTTGACGCATGACTTCTCAGGCGCGCGAGATCTGATCACGATTCCCGTGTTCCAGGTGTTAACCGCCATTATCCTCTTAAAACCAGGTTTGATTTGGGTTGCCTCCTTCTGGAAAAGAAGGGCAACCCACATAGACCAGCAGGCGTGGCTCGTATAGGCTTTGAGCCAAGTTGCGGGGGTTTAAATTGGGTTGGCTTCGGGGGGCAACTCTCTTTTTGTGTTTGCTCCTGTGAGAACAGATTGAAAAAACATGCTAGTTGAAGGGGGATGTCCTTGGGCTCGCTTGAAGCCCTGCGATCTGGTTTGATCGAAAGGCTATTGATGTCAGTAGGGTAGGTTCGGAACGTGTTACCTGCCTCTTGAGGACGCTTTCGTAGAAAAGCCTCCATGGTTGCACTCCGCAAGTTGAGCCAAAGTTTCACTTTGCGAGTTGTTGAACTTCCCAAAAAACAAGGCCCGCGAAAGCGAGGACGTGTGTAAACGGATTCACTCCTAGAACGTCTTCGCCAAGCAGACCAGAGCTGACAAAGTTCCTCGTCCCCTTTCAACCTCTCATTCGAATAATCTTCCTCCGCATTGGCCAGCGCGGCAGCGCAAAAGTCGCCGCACAAGGATGGAGGGGTTTGCTTTTGCAGTATTCTCACTGGCGGTTTGCTTTTTTTTGTTGCTCGACTTTCCTCCTTGCAGAAACGCGCCGTTTGAAGCTGGGCTTGCTTTGTCATGGCTTTATTTGGTTTGCTTTGATGAGAAGACCAAAGAGACCGATTCTAGCTTCTGGAGACAACTCCGTCCCATTGTATTTGCGGTGTCCCTCGTCGTTTCTTGGGCTTACTATGTCTCACTTATACTTGTTTCTCTTGCCCCCCGCTGGTTCAATAACGTCGGGCGAGTTGTGTAGAAAGCGGTCGCTGTACTTGAATGTCGCCAGCAGAGAGGAACAGACCTGAAGAGCCGACGCTTAGAGCCAACACCCACTAGAGTTGCTCCAAGCCACTACCTGTTGGTTTTGTCAGTCTTACCTTGCCTATGGGCAAAGTTCGGGTTGCGCCACTGTTGTTGAAGTTTCTGCTTTTCCGAAAGCTACACGTGTGATGGTGCTGTTTGCCACATGTCCAGGTTTTGTCGGTTTTGCTTTTCTCGTCCCAAGTCCTAGAGAAGCAAAAGGGTTGCTGGTTTTTCATGGAAAAGCGGCAACTCTTTTAACTTTTAAGTCGATGTAATGAAGAAACCAGGTGCCTGGCCATTGGCCCAGCGGCGTCAACCCTGGGTTCACATTGAGTTGTTTATCCATCCTCTTCTGCCTCAAAGGCTAGTGATTTGTTTGGCTTTCTTGTCAAAACTCCCGCAAGCGTGCTCCTTCTATTTTTTTCGGCCCATGCACGTTTTCACTATCTTGGTTTTGCGACCCTGCTCATTTCGACAAAGACAATTCCATTTGTGAATTTGCTGGTCTCCCTGCGTGCTGCTGGTTCGACCTAATCTGGGCAAGATCATGACCCGTGTATCCTGTTGCGGCAGCCGATCGCTCCACAGCCGATCGCTCCAGGACGTGCTAGCCACATTTGACGGCGGCAGCGTCAAGGCTGCCCAAGAGATCCGCAAGCAGTTCGGCGCGGCTGGGGTTGACGTGTCCAGCATACTTTTTCTCCCAGACGAGAAAAGCCTGCAGATGCGGAAGGACTGGCGCCGTAGCCAGTCGGGCGCCCAGAAGCCAAAATGCCACGCGAAGTTTGCAAAGTCTGGCAGCGACTCGTGTTTGCCTTAAGTGTGTGACCAGGTCAGAGCGGGCAGCAAAGCGCCGAAAGCTGACGGCCGGACTTTTGGGGTCTGTGCAAGGACAGGAGCGATTTATCTTCAGCTCTGTGGATGCACGGGAGCACCGCTTCCTGGCAACACCGGGGTTCGCCTCGACAGCCTGCCCGGCCCTCCCGGTGCCGCTCCCCAACCCACATGACTTGCACAAAGTGCCTAAAAATCTGAAGATGAAGATCCTGCCTCCCCTGGCGCCAAAGTCCTGCTTGTGCGACGAGACGCCTGAGGCTTCGGAACAGGAGAGTCATCTTGTCCTTATTTGTTATGTTGGGCGCAGGCCCTTGTGTCCGACATGGACGAGCTTGCCTCTCTGCCGCTCGCCTTCTTCGAAAGGCGTGGTGCTAAGCAAAATGTGGCACTCCCCAGTAGTTGGGCCATGCGGCCGCTTTTCAACGGCATTTTGTGTCCTGCAGGGCGCGCTTCCAGTCTTGGGCCACCTTGAATTGAATTGCTAAGTTTGTTGCTTGCAAGTTGCCTGCGCCAAAGCCACTACTAAATACTGAGCTTGAGAATGCTGTGTGGACGTGCTTCATACTTTCAAAACGACATCCATTCAGGGCCTTTGCAACTTAGTAACTTGCACATGCCCACTTCTTGTGAGCGCGCCTGGCTTGCGTCCAGGGAACGGGTGTTCTTCACTTGCTGACGTGTCTAAAATTCACCGGACCGCTTCCAGGTGCCCGCAGACGTACCAGATGATACTCCACACAATGTGGGATCCGGAGCGTGTGGTGCTGTGGACGCCAGGTGCTGGCGAGCTCATGTTGGCCTTGATCCGTGCAAGGGTCCCAGTTTTGGCGATTGTGCGGTGCGTGGAGCAGAAGAAGACTCTGACCGAGATCATCCTTGCCAGGCTGAAGGAGTACATGCAGGTTCCAAGCGATGAGAGGTTCTTTAAGAGCACGCCGGAGAGCAAGCCGACGCCGGCGGGGGAGGTGGCTGCGGAGGTGGCGGTGGAGGCGGCATCGCCAGAGAAGGACATAGAAGAAGATGCGCGCAAGCAGCTGTGTGCTAGCAGTAGCAGCGATGAGGAGGGCAGCAGCCCTGAGTTGTGACACGGACGTGCGACCTGCTGAGAAAATGGAGCGGCCGCTCTTCAAGGGCAAGCCCCAGTTGTTCAAACCAATTGTTGAGGAGGAAAGCACCAGAAAGCACTGACATCCCCAAACCCCAGCAAGCCTGCAGTTGCGGCACATTTACCGAGCTGCCATGTGTTTAGTGTGGTCATATTGGAGTTGCCCAACCTTTGGAGGCGCGTGGTTCCCCGCTGTGAGAGACCCCGAAGATGAGAAACAAAAAAAAGTGTTAGCCTTTTTTCTTTTGCACACTTGGGAAGCAAGATTGAGATACCTCCTTTCAGGTAACCTGCCACAGGTGCGGTGTTAGTCTTGCTGCTGCTCAGCAGGAAATGCGGGAACGAACCTGGAGATTCCCTTGTAGGGGTCATTTCCTCATTCCTAACTGAGCACCAGCAAGTAGGAGGAAGGGTTTTTCCTTTTTCTGGGAGGAACATGGCTGTTGTTGGGAAGCATTTTACATTTTTGCTTATTGTGGTTTAGTGGGAAATCCCCACTTAACTTAACTGCTATTTGTTTTTTGTTGCTCCCCTTCCAACGTCAACCAAGGAAGGGCTTTTCCTCTCTTTTTTTTCTCCTTTTTTTTCCTCGCAACGGAGGCCGAGGCGTCAGAGCCAGGCCTCGAAGGCGAGGGTTCGGAAGCCGTGGTGTTCAGCGCTCGTTTGTCCCAAGGGTGGTGGTCGTCACCGGTTGGAGCCTTTCTGGGGCAACCATCCTGGTTTAGGGCCCCTGAAATATCAGAAACCCTTATATAGCTCTGCTGCTCGGGTGGTTTTGAACATCATTTGTTGCGAAGTGACTCTTTTTGTTGGGGTGATGTTTAAAGGTTTGCATTCTAGGGAGCTGATGTTGTTTGTCCTGAGCGGAAAGCAACAATTCGGTATTCAAACGCTAGGCTTCACAGTGCAAATTGTGTTTTCAGATTGTGCTTGTTTGGTTCTGTTCATGTTTTATGGGCCGCACAAATTATGTTTGACATATTCTCGGTTGAGAGGACTACCTAGTGCTTGGGTTTGCGGCCAAGTTACTAAGTTGCCAGCAAGCTGGGTTATGGCCCACTTACAGGCCTCCCCAAGAGGAGTTACATCTGCTGTTAGTGGGGTATAGCTCGAGTGGTTAACCGCTGACGAACTTGGCCGCACATCCAGTACAAATTGGGATCATTCCCCTTGGCCATTGTTGGGATGCTTATCCAAGAAGCGGATCTTCGAATCCTCATGGAGGGTTGGTGCATGATGAACACGTGGGTCTGTTCCTTTTTGCGGGTACTCTTTTGAGGGTTGCTTCAAAGGGACACCAAAGGGCAAACCACCGTTTCGTTCCCCCCATTTTAAGACACGCCCATGTAGTTGGAGGGAACCGGGCGGAGCTCCCTACAATCTTGGAGGTAGGGTCACCACTTATTCTGAGCAAAGGACTATCTTTCCGGATCTATCACTATCCGTTCATTTGGAGGTGAGGCTCCTCTGGAACAAAAGGAATCCGCGGATTCCCTTGACAAGTGTGGGTCTATTGGTGTGGGCTGAACGCGTCAACTCTTGTTTCCAGCAATTCACATTTCTGTAGGCCTTCAACTCCCGTTCTACCATAGTCTTTGGCTCAGGCCCAACATGGTCAATCACATTGTGGGCCGAACCTCCGATAAACAAAGACATCACGTTGTTTTGGGGGGAGTCGGAAGGTTCTGAAACTAAAGTGCTGGTTCGCCTGTTTCGCTGAGTCAAAAGTCATCAAAATCCGAGGCCGGCCTTTGGTCACCCGCATCGCATCAGGTGTCCCCGACACACCGAGCGACGAAGAGCCCGAGCTGGCCACACCGCGTCGGTCACGGGCACCTCGGCACCAAGGGATCGGTCAGACTGGGGGTGTGTCTCACGTCCTGAGTTGCTGGACTTGGTCACTTGTTGGGTTTGGACCATTTTGGTGGTAAATAGCAAGTTGTTACCATTTTTTTGCCATTCCACTCAGGAAGTGAGTTGTGTTCTTGCTCGGGTGTTCGTTGGCGAGTTAGGAAGTTGTTGGCAACCTAGGTTGTAGCGCACGTAGTCTCGCCCCCATGGGACTAGACCCTGTTCTTCGCGGGCAGGTTATAGCTCGAGTGGCTGACCAATTGCTAATTTGGCCGAACATGCGGCGGTTCGGCCTCCATCTACAAGACCCAGAGGCTCAAATCCCCAAGCCACCAATCCAAACCACCAATTGAGGAGTACCTAATTCACTCCAATGGGTGGATTGAATTGGGTTTGATTTGAACCCCTGATTCTTGTTGACATTAAATTGGAAACCACCCCGGTCTTTCCTTTAAGATTTTTAACGGAAACGGTTCAAGCGGTTTAGGCCCCTGAGCCTTGAGGCTTGAGGCGCCCTTTCCTCTGAGAAAGGGTTAGAACGGTTTAAAGGGTTCAAACCGTTTCAAACCCTGACCTTTTTTGGCATATACCTGTGAATCCTGGAAAAACAAGTTGAATAGGATCGCTGTATCAAAGGCTCTTCAATTGGACTGGTTGTTTCAACTTAGATTATTCTGTTGAATGAATAAGGAAATCACCCTTTCGGATGTCTAGTTAAAAGGTAGTCCAAATAGGTGTTCCTTTTCAAAGAATACTAGTAATTAAACGTCTAACTTATTTGACATTAGACTTAAACTAGTTGTCCATTGTTGTTTGTTGATCGAACAGTACATGGAGTTTAATAAGGCAATAATTCTAGAAGAGTGTCTTGTTTTAACGATCATCTGGATAGGCGTGTGGAATTGAAGTGGAATTTAATAATGACATACTCCTAGTAGGATTTCTAGTCTAAATGGAATGTAAGCAGGTTCTCGTCTTCAAATAATATGTGTAACTAAGTGTCTTTGTTGACATTAGATATTGTTTTTCTTTTTTTGCATCTGTATCGTTTGAATAGAAATCAAATATAATTTCATAAGGACGTAGAGTAGAGTTTCTATCTTAACGAAATTGTAAATATGCATTTGTTGAAATAATATTTGTAGTTGAAACTCCTATTTCAAATTATGTTTTAAAAGGGGTCTCTTTTTCCAGGACTGATTTTTTTCTATGTTCTAATTAAAATCCGAATAGACATTAACAGTGACACATCCTGAGATAGGTTCTAGTTTTAAAAATGATGTAAGTAGGATGTCCTTTGAGAAACATTTGTTTAATTGGGATTCTTATCGAATTAGATTCCAAAGAGGACTTCCTTTTCCAGAATGTGTTTTTTTCCAGTTTCTAGATATAATTTGAAACAGGTTGATAAGGCACCCTTTTCGTGCTGCTTTCCCCATAGCACAACACAAAGGCAGAGAACACTGCAAATACAACCAAGAAAATGGTAGACTCTTCTTTCTTTCTTTTTTTTTGGGGGGGGGGGTAGTATGTATATATATACTTATGTATATAATATATATATATATATTGATGGCTTCAAAGTTCCACAGAGTTCTGTGACCATGACTTAGTTTGGTGTTCGTTCGCCCAGAGTCCCGTTCTGGGGGTTCCCAAGGCTATGGGCACTGACTCCCTCATCGCCCTGGAGGACGTGAACGGCGCGACCGGTTTTTCGGGGGCCGAAACGAAACGCGCACGTTTTCGGGGAGGCCGAAAGAAAAAAAAGAACACCGGTGGTGGTCTTTTTTCTTGGAGGGGGGGTGCCTATTTTGACATGAGCCATGAATCATGTGTCTCTTTGTTTGTCTGCTGTTGGGGGGAGGTTTTCTTATGTTTGCCAGGCACAGTCAGCTAGCTTCGAGCTACTTTTGGACTTCCTACCTGAGAAAGGCTCAGAGCTTCCGGGCTTCCCTTTCTTGACTGGATCGTTTCGGTCGGACAATGTAACGCTTGAACCTGTCTGCACGGGCACGAGCCAAGCGGCTGCTTGGTTTCCTTTTTGTGTGGGGGTGTCCTTCACAGTTTGTCAACCACAGGTCGGGAGTTCTGTTGCCACCCTTTCCTGGAAAACGAAGCACTGCCATCACACGGATTCCTACACTGGTACGGGGACATGTCGGTTTGCCACCGGCAAATGAACGGCAAAGAAGCTGGCGCCTCTTTCTTCGGCAAGTGGCAACTTTCGCCTCAGATTCCATTGCGGCGACCAAACCTGTGATGTTGAGACGCAATGCGCGCGTCCATCGTGTTGCTTCCGGAGCAAGGTGGCCAGTTGGCAGTGCTCAGGTTTGTCTTGCGCTTTCGTTGGCTTCTCTTCTGTGTTGACACAAATTTGGCTTTCTTAAGGGACAAGCGGGTTGTATTTTGAAGCCCGAGCGTGTCCAGCAATGTGACAAGTGACATTTCGACATGGGTTTTGAAGGTGTGGACTTCTATGGCTATACATGTTCACTGGGAGCACCAACGAAAACGGTTGGTGGCCGTTAATGCCCATGTAAATGATGTCCGCCAAAGGGTAATAAGATAAGAGTCGGAGCAATGCGCAACCAATAAAAGCTTGTCAGGCTAAAGTAAATACCCATTGTGTAGGTGGTATGCAACCTCCATCCTCCAAAACCCGGCTTCTCGAAAATGGCCTTGACCCTTCTTTAAGATCTTGGGATGCTAACTCAAGACACCATTTGGCGTTCTTTTTTCCCCAACAGCTGAAAGCTTCGGGGTCTCAGCCCAGATAGGCTCCGGGGTGGTCCGGGGCGGCCCTGAGATAAGGTTCCACGAGGGTTCCACGAGGGTTCCACGAGGGTTCCACCAGGGTTCCACCAGGGTTCCACCAGGGTTTCACCAGGGTTCCACGAGGTTCTGCGCGGGCTGCGGGGTGGTGCGAGCACTAGAAAGAGCACCGCATGCTGTTGGGGATATCACCTGAGCTTATTTTTTTTGTTGGGGGGGGGGCAGATGATTTCACTGGCAACTCCGACTCCGAAAGACATGTAGGGGGCCATGTTGGGCGTGGAGCAAGCCCAGCAAACGGTCCGGTTCCTTCCAACAGGGATTCGAGGGCAGAACATTGGCTAGGTTTCGGTCGGATTGTCCTTAGAATTTTGTCCAAACCTGGGCAGAAGTCCAGGAACAAGTTGACGTTGATTTCCCTTTCCCTTGTCAGAAACTATTTTTCTACCCTTGGGCGAAACCCTTTGACGTCAGGTCCTCAAGAAACAGTTTCCGTACTAAGTTTTACTCGGACCCCGACACAAAGACCGCGCGACCAGCCTGCCCGGGCTGAGTCAAAGGAAGCCATTTGGGACAGGAGTCCTTTTTTTTTATGACTCCCTCGTTGACAACCATTTATGGTGGAGTTCCCCCGTTTCGGGGTGAGGGGAAAGGGAGAAGTCTCGTTGGACGCCTGAAGGATCCAATGATGTGTTTTTTTTCTCATATGGATCCATTTTTTGGGCAAACCACTTTTCTTGGTTTGACATCATGCTTTTGGGTTCAACCATTTTTTGGGTTCAACCATTATTTGGTCACTTTTGGGGAAGATCATTTTGATTGGTTGCAAAAGCAAAGTGTGGACTTGTGACAATCCACACAGAAAGTAAAAGGTGGTGGGTGAGGGCGGTGTTCCCCAAAATCAGACCCGGATGTGGTCTTAAATGGATTGTGGCCCCCCGATCAAAGTTAGGCAAAGGCTTTGCCTCAAGTGGGTTCCCATTGGAAACATATTTTGGCTCAGTGATTTGTTTGGTCCATGCCCGTTCCAAAAGCGATCCCTTTGATCCCCTGTGAAAAGGGCCCATCCAGGGGCCCCAGGGGCTTGATCTTGGGTTCCTTATCGCCTCTGGAATGAGACACATGGAATGGTCCATCAAACTGATGCCTCACCCGTCTAAAGCCTTCGTTTCATCTTGGTTTGGCTCCAAGTCTTCCAGATCCTGGTTCCCACGTTCCCGGATGCATCGAGTGGCACGCTCCATCCGAGAAGTTCCGGCCAAAGAATCCAGAACCCACACACAGGGTTCCCCAGTGGCCTCACCGATGTGCAGGAGGCTCCCTGCCTAGGCCGGGAGTCCGGGCGATTTGGGTTCCCCACCTCGGGTGGCCTTTTCACTGGCTTTTTTTGAGGGGTGGGCCCCTTTGGAGTTTGCGAAAGAAACATATATATATATATACGTATATATACAGAGATTCGGAAGCCACCTGGGCAAACAATGACGTTGGACATGGGAGCAGCATGCTTTGCTTGCGGAGTCCAGTCTGAGCTTTGTTTCACCTTACGTTGGCCTAAATATCATCTGATGTACTACAAAGGGTCAAGTACATCCTCACTAGGTGCCAGGGGACTCTAATAATCTAATATATAAGGACACCTTTTTTGGGTTGACCATTTTTTTCAGGGGGACAAACACAAAAAGGCACTGGGTGCCATTGAACAAGGCTCTCACAAGGTAAGCTTCAGGGTAGTTAATCAATGAACTGCTTGTTTGGTCTACGGCAAGACTTGCCCCACTCATTGGTCCAAAGCCAAACACATTGGCGTGCATTCTTTTTACGGGGACCCGCAAGACTGATGGTTTTCCGTTTGGCTTTCCTTTCAACCACCAAACAAAATTACCCTCAAAAACAGACATACCCACATGGAGGGATCCCACATGGAGAGATCCCACAAAGAGGGATCCCTAGGGTTCTGGACTTCAAGCAGCGAATGCGGGCGCCATTTGTTGTCAGGCTCCCTGGACTGGAATGTCGAGGCGGGACTGCAGACAAACAAAACGGCTGGTTGCCAACCCGTTGTTACATGTTTCAAGAGCCAACGTTCAAATGACCTGCTCTTAGTTTCCGCTAACGTGGCCAGGGTCTGCTTGTTTAAAAAGTTTTACCCAAGGTTTGCACATGCTTGTTTCTCAATATTATGGCTCGTTCAGGAATTCTGGACTCGATGTAAGGAAGGTACACCCCGAAGGCTCTACCTTTTTGGCCCCATGTCTTTTTTTAGGGGACCCCCCAAACAAAAAGAACAAAAAAGAGGTGATGTCCTTTTGGTGTCCGTTCAAAAGCTTCAACAAGGGGTAACCTTAAAAAACACATACATCATACCCATATCTCGAGGTATGCAACCAGGCATGGTTCCCCGGGAGCTTTTTATGGGGATTTCGATGGAGCTGAAGTCATTGCCAGTTGTGTCGTGGGTAGAGACATGGCAAAATGAATGGTACTATAGTAGTCTCACTCCCTGAGTTCATGGACTTTATACTTTTTGGGAAGACCATTTTGGTGGTAAACAAAAAGTTTGGACTTTTTGTTGGCCAATCAACTCAGGAAGCGAGTAGTCTATTGTTGGTTTGGGGAGGACGAGGAGGTGGGCTCGCAGTTCTAAGTCAATCTGGCCAAACCCATAGTTTTTGTGTCCTTTTGTTTAGATTTCATGGTTTTGGCCCCTTGGCTGAAGCCTCCAATGATGGACTTCAGGCACAATTGCAGAGGCTAAACATGCCGTTCTTGTTGGGGAAAAGAAAGGTTGTCGCAATATAGATTAGAATCTGAATTTGCAATTGTTTGTTGAGTGCAGAAGCATTGACGAAATCGCAAGAGTCTGAACTTGTTTTCTTAGAATCTGAGCTTGTTTTTCTTTGGGTGGGAGGGGGGGGGGAGGAAGCTGCGAAATGCCAAGTTTTTTTTCTTCGGGCGCGGGGGAAGCTGAGTCTGCTTTCATATCGTCAAGACAGGGAGCTTTTTCCACGCCAGGAGGTGGCTGACGAGGCAAGCGCTCGTGGGCGTTTAGCCTGGGGTTCGGAGAAAGAAATAGTGGGTTATGGCTGAGGTCGTTATTTTGACTGTTTCTAGGGGTTATCATAGCACCGACCACTTGAGGGGTGACTCTGATTGCGCTAAAATTCATGGGGCCAGTATGGACAAGCATGGCTGCGTCTTGTTTTGGGAGCACCCCGCTTTGGTTTGGCTGAAGAAACCAAGAGGCAGCCAACCTCATTTTGCGACACAACCCTCCACTAAGTAATCAAGTAGTCACAGGCATGGCCCGCTTTACTTTGGATGGGACACACTGCATCAGCTGGATGATTTTCTGTGAACACTGGTTCAGCAAACCACTTAGCAACTGGTGCGTTTTGTGGGTTTCTCCACAGAGTTCTCTCACTGTGCCTAGCCTCTTGAAACTTACTTTGCCTAAAGCCTGTTGCGGAATCCAGCTGTCAGGTCATACGAAACACACATAGAAGAACTCGGGTTGACGACAACCCCCCCCAAAGGAGCCAGCTACATTGCACGTGTCGGCGCCATGTGAGATGTTGAGAGATCAGGAGTTGGCATGCGCGTGTCCTATTTGTGTGGGCGTTTTGTTGATGGTACCCGTTCCACCATTCAAAAGGACACCAAAAGGACAACCACCCATTTCCGTCCCCGCATTTTGACACATACTCATTGATACTCATTCAGGTGACGTGTTGGTGTGCGGCGCCTTTCATCCTTGAAACCTCGTTTTGGGACTTTTCCGTTTCTACACGATGCCCTTCCACAAAAGGGGCGCTACTTTGAGAACCTCACATCTAGAATCTACCTAGCTATTTCAACTGGAATCTGGAGCAGTTTCTTTGGTTCATTTTTTCAACCCAGAACCCATCTCGAGACGTTTTGGCCGGAAAGGGGGCTCAACCATCCGACCGCTGCCGTGCAGGTGTCAGAGAAGATTCCCAGCAAGTCTGGGGCTTGGGCGGAGCCACTTGAGCTGATGCAACTTGCGGGTCCCAAGCTATGTTTGCCAGCTTCGTGCAGCACCGGTTCAGGATAGATATGTTTGAGGGTAACCGGTTTCTGGGTTTGACAGGGAAGCCAAGTTTTGGATTCCGACCATGCTTGGGGGTCCCCCAAAATAGACACCTATATTGGTAAATTCGGGGTGTGTGAAACTTGGGTCCTCCATCAAGTTCCTTTGATGCCCAAAGCTGTGCGTGTCATCGTTGCTTGTTTTTCAGTGAAATCTGCTGACAACACACCTATACCTCCAGTGCTGCCCTGGTGTGACAGTGTGCTTTTCTCTTTGGGGGTTTCCCTTTAAAATCAACTATATACCAAGCAACAGAGTGCCCTCGGTTCCCGTCTCCACTGGGCGTCTGAGAAAACCTGCCCACATCTCAACCAACACAACGTGTTGCGGGTTTCTGAACACCCGATCTATGGTGAACAGGGTTGTTGGTTGTTCCTAAACAGGGGTGTGGGAATGCTCAGTTGTTGTCGGCTTTTGACCTTTTGGTTTTCCCATTTTGGTCCATATTTTGTCATGGCCCCAAAGGGTTAAACTTTTAGTTCCAGGTCCTTTGGGCAACTGAGAATCAGGGCTTGGTTCCCACTTCTGTGACACCAGGAAACGCCCCCAAGTTCGTCGTTTGGAAGGCCTGCCATTGGTATCGCCGTGGGCAACTGTTCCAGGACCGATTCCCCGAACCTCAGGTTCCATATGGGTATGGGTCAAAATTAAACCACCAGGAATCGGACCGCAGGTTTTGGTCCATAGCACTTACTGGGGTTCAATTTGGTACAGCCATATTAATCGGTGAGAGGGTAAGTGGTGAGCAAAAAGTTTAGACTTTGTTGGCGAAATCCACCGAAGTGAGGCACTCAAATGTGCAAGCTCAGGCACGATCTGCTGCACACGTTGCTGCTTGGCGAAATGAGTGTGAAGATTCCAAATGGGCGCGGCTCATGTCTTTAGGCTCGGTACCTTGGTGTAAAGGGACCGTCATATTATTCAGAAAAAAAAAATCCTGCAGATTTCGGGAAACTACAGGGACAAGCACCACTCTGGGGGTCCCCGATTTTAAGACACCCTCAATTTAGACTGCCAAAGGGGAGCACATGTTAGGGAATCTCCACGAGCCGAGGCTCGCAGATCTGCAGGATGACACCAAGACGGAGTTCCGATTGCCTGAGGAGAGCTCGTGCAAACGACTTCTTGCTCGCTTCCTGAGGTGCCGGACTTGAAGGCTTTTGGGAAGACAATATTAGTGGTCAGCACATCTGGACGTGAGATTGGGTCGAAGAAGACAACCCATGCCCTTTGGATATGCAAGATCCCATCCCTTGACTTTCTTTGCAGGCCCGGAGCCCTGTAAGCCGATGCTGAGGAGAAAATGAGATGCCGGTAAACGCCGTAGCATCCATGGAGACACATCAGGCCCAAGTTGTTGTTGCAAAGCAAGATTTGCGGAGTCAGGAATTTGCAGCGCCCAAACCGATGCCCAATCCGAAACCCAACCCATAGCCATCTCATAAGCTGTCATGCCGCAAAATGCGCTACACGTGTATTGAAAAGTTGTGACTTGCGAGCTGGAGCTGGAGCTGCCACAGCTTGTACTGAAAAGTTGAGACTTTCCAGATATAGAGCTGCCAAAGAACTGCAAGCCGATGCAGAGAGAACACACGACACTAGCCGATACCAGGTATAAAGCTACAAGGGTTGTCCACGGCTTTTTCAGCCCACTTGGATGTTCGGCCAAGCTGGGAAGTGGTTAGCCACCGGGGGGAAAACCCACAAACAAGGTCAAGCGCACTTGAGGAGGAATAGAAGCGCAGGTTCCTGACATTGCTAACTTGGCCGAACACCCGGCAGCGACCAGGGCGTAGCAAAGTTTCCAGTTCGGCCAGTCTCGTCTAGAACAAAATCCAGATATCCCCATTAAAGGGAAGGGTTTCTTTGGCCATCCCCTAGAAAGGGGGGGGGAGGTACGGGTGTGTTTCAAAATAGGGATGTCGCTGCGGCTTCCCTTTAAATCAACCCAAACAACGGGTGCCCTAAAAAAGAGCATGCCCATATCCCGCAAAGCGGGTTTCTTTGGCCATCGGGATTTGCATGTGAGATCGTCTCAAAAGACGCGGAAAACCCGACACGGGCGGTGTCCTACCGGTGTCACTGGAAGCATTTTTTGCATGGGCATTGAACTTTCTCCGCGACTCAAGTCTTCTCCAAGCTGCCGCTTGGAAAAGCTGGGTGCTAAATAAAGGAAACCAACACGGGATGCGTAAGTTCTGCAGTCGATTCAGAGGGGTTTTCCTTCCCATGGCATGGCCAACCAGCCGGTAAAAAAAGCAATAAGGGACCACATGGCTTCAACGCCCGGTCTTGGGCGGGGCCGCCGTTTTCTTTCTGGTTGGTTGTTTGATTGCTTGGTTTGGTTTGGGTTGGGTTGAGTTGGTTTGGGTTGGGTTGAGTTGGTTTGGGTTTGGTTGGTTTTTTTTGTTTGTTTGGTTGATTGCTTTGTTTATTTGTTTATTTGTTAGTGGTTGGCTTGGTTTCGGTTGGTTGAACATCCGCAGGACCCGGAGGTCTTACGCACGCTCTTCGGCCGAGCTCCAGAGGTACAAGTGCCGCCGGAACGAGGCTCGGCCGCTCGCTTGCGCCGCTTGCCGCTTGCGGTGGGCGCTTTCGCGAATGTGTCGTCAGGCACCCTACCTGGAGTCTCCATGGCCCTTTAAGCATGGGGTGATGACCCCTTTGTTTTGCGCCCCATTTTTCAAGGGGTCATGGAAAAATGGGGTGATGACCCCTTTGTTTTGGCCAATTACCCTATTTTTAAAAGAGCTCAAAGGGGCCATCAAGTCTACCATGGATAGCCCACTTACCTAAGTTATTGCAAGTACGGGAACAAGGCAACCGGCTCTTATTTACCGCGATTTTCCCAGGTTGTGTGGTTGAGTACAGCGGTCAGTTTCATCTGTGTTTGTGGTTTCCCTAATGGTCAACCCATTTAAAGGACCTTTTGATCAACCCGCATCTAGGGTATGGTCAGGCACCCAACGACTTACAGGGGCGATTGGGTACGTCAGAAAAGTGGGTTCTCTGCATAATCACCCCCCCTCCCTTGAAAATGGAATTGGGGGAGGGGGTATTGGGACCCCTGGAAATCCATTTTTTGGCACTCCATTTTTCTCTTCTGGGGAAGACTAAATCCATGGAAGACTAAATAAATGGAACTGGGTCCCGGACCCCCCCGCACCCCCGCACCTCTCTTAAGGTAGGGGGATGTTGGAATGATCCCACACTGAACCATCCAACTGGTTTCCTTGTGGGAATGTGAACCCCTGGTTCTTGGGGGCAAATGAGACACCGCCCAACAACCTCCAACCAATTAGAGGATGAGTGTGGACGTTTTTATGGGCCCTTCCCTTATACCCTAAGGGTCATGTCCCCTCCAATGCAGACCGGGACCCGGACCCTCCAATGGAGAACCCCGACCCCTCAAGGGAATCAGCAACAACCCATTTGGAGGGCCCAAAAGCCGTCGAATCGGACCCTTAGGGTAGGAAGTGACTTGGTTGCAACCCAAGTGGCAAACCGCTTAGCAATTGGCCGCGGACATCCAAGCGGGTTTCGTGTTCGGGCCCCAAAATGGGGCACCCTCAATCAAACACCATGGGAACCCCTTTCCTCTTTTCCCCTTTAGACCAAGGTAGAAGCTAGGTCCCCCAGTGGTGCCCTTCTCACCCCGTTTTTGGGGTTTTGGGTTCCCCTACAAAAATAGACTACAACAAAAAAAAAATCGGGTACCAACTTATTCTAACCTCTCTACTGGAGGACCTGGAAAGGGAGACCCTGCGATCAGCCCCCCCAAGTCATTGAGGCCACGCTCCCTGGCCATTGCCTTGCGCGGGTTCCCGGCCGAAGGGACCCATGGCCATGGATGGCATGGATCGCCAAAGTCCCACGGCTCGTTCCGCCGGTTGGCGGTGGAAATCAGTCGAAACGTAGACCCTTCCCAAAACAAAGCAAGGCCCGCCAAGCAACTGGGTTGTCTGGCCTCAGACTTCCGGTGGATTTCCTTGGGAACGAACTGGCACCTGCTTTTTGGTATGTTAATTGGCTGTGGGTCAAAAATAGGGTAACCCCAAAATGGAATCCTGGTAAATGGAAACATGGACCAAAAGCTGCGGTCCGATTCCTGGTGGTTTAATTTTGACCCATCATGGAGGTTTCCAATGGACCTGCAAGAAAGACTTTCTTGCGACCTTTACGCTGCAACTTTCTGGGGGTACCTTCCATTTCCATTGGATCCTAACCTTTCAGGAAACCATCCAAAACCCAGGGGAAACAGCCGGTGTTTGAAATGAAAGATGGTTGAACAAATAATGGGGAATCAACCCCCAGAAACTTGCAGAAGTTGAACCGTTCAGTGATTCTTTGGGGTGTAACACGGGCATGTTTTGCATGTCTGGTCTGGTTGGGCCTTGATCCAGCGACACATTTCCGGAAGTTGTCTTTGGCGGATCCTTATGAAAATTCATCGCCACATGGTTTGAGGCAGATGCTTTTACCAGGATTTCACGGTGACTCACGTGACCGGCTAAGGCGAAGAGAGCCCTCAGGGCTCGAACGGTTCCAACGCGTCCCTGCTACAGTAGGCAGAGGCGGGTGAGGCCGGGTGCGGCCGGGTGTTGCGGGTGGGGCGATGGCCCTTTTCTGTGAGCCACAGTACATCCGCTGAGGTGTTTCAAAAGTTTTTTTCTTTTCTTTTTTCCGGATTTCAGAATGGAGGGGAAGGACATACGGTGGTTGCAAATGCTGTGCTTCCCACGTGGTGTCCAGAACTAGGCACGCGGGTCTCTAACAAAGGGGTTTCGGCTTGCAACAAGGGAGCAATGTGGTCTTGGAACCTAATTTAAAGGTCACCCAATCAAAAAAAAAAAACATGGTTGGTTTCCGTTTGGCGGTCCAGTTAAAAGGGTACCCCCTGTTTACAATCAAGCCAAGGTGGTCAAGTAGGATGTGTTGGCATCGACTTGATATGTGTTTCCAACTGGCCACTGAAGGATTGCGGGGGTTATGCTGGGAAATCATAGGACATATAATAGGGCAACCCCGGATAGTCCGTGTTTCTTGAAGTGCTGCGCAGGACTTATGGGGAATGAGACAGAATTACAGGCAAAGCCGGATAGTCCGTGTTGCTTCAAGTGCTGCGCAAGACTTATGATAAATAACGGGACATACATGCAACCCTGAATCGTCCGTGCTTCAAGTTTGGCGCAGGACTTTTGATCTACATCATGTACATCCACATCTACAGCCCACTTTGCATGACTTTTGGTGTCGCCAAAGGCGACATGGGATCAACACCTGAGGTGTCAACCGTTGGAATTGGAGTGCTGCAGCGACACGCGCGGAGAAGCTCGTTCTCTCGAATGGGACACACCCCAAGGTGCGGTGGGCGAATGGGCGAGACATGCACCTGGCTTGTCAGTCCCGCCAATGCGTACCATGGGGTGGTTGTCCCCTGGTTTCCTCAAAGGACTTGATCATGTTGGGCCTGCTTCAACATGAACCCCCCCGGTTGAAGAAAGCCAACAGTCATTTTGACCCCTGTTGGAGTAACTCGGGCCCCAAGACAACATGAAGCGGACCCAACACATATGTGACGGCATGTTCGAAGACTTGTCAGAGAGCCATGTTTGAGCCGAGTGTCGCGGATGTCGATTCCCACTCCGTCTCCCCGTCTCCGATATCGGAAGCCAGTCAGTCAGCCAAGAGGACCTTTATGGTGACAGATAAACATATGTATCCTTTCTTGGGTTCCACTTCTTGAGGTTGTGTGTTTGAGTTTTAATCAGATTCATTTGCCCATGGAGCGATTCCACCGATCCGGCGGGGTCAGTTTGAGCAAAGTCCATGAGATTCCTTGACTCGGGCAGGGTTCAGCGTGCTCCTCCAAAACAGTTTTTTAAGGAGAGACATATGAGAATCATAATCTTACCTCTTAAAAACACAACTTTTCAACTTTTTGGGTAACATGGGCTATATGTCTGTAAAAGATTAACTTCCCCAGGGCTTGGAGTTTTAAGGGGTAAGTAACCTGTTTTTTTCTCCATACCGTTGTGGGCCAACTTGGGGTCATCAGTTTAGGGCCACCAGAAATTCCACCATGGGACCTGACTCGGGAATACTCTGGCGATCAATGTTTGGCTTTGGAATCGCGTCCCAGTCCCAGTGATTCCATTTACCATGGGCAGCCAAGGGAATCCCCCTTTAAAGCAAAAAGAAGAATGGCTGTTTACTGTGGAACTGGGATCCTTTGATTCTGTATTTGCAACTGCAGCCTCCGAGCGAATCGATCGGCGTGAGAGCCACACTTGCACCGGCCCTCGAGCCGTTTCTCGCGGGACACCCGGCTGCAGCCGTGCAGCTTCTATGATACTGCAAGGGCCATGACTGCTTGCTTCTCGACACCAAATTGCCCATACGGTATGTGGTCATTTAAAGTTTGACTGAATAACCATATGAAGTTTCGAGTATCATATGATGTGTTATGTTGTAACCCTAGGGTGCACCAATTCAGCTTGACCGAACCGACCTATCCCTCCGGCTGAATTCACATGCTTGGTGTCCGGGGGTGGGTGTTGGTGGATCACATGTGGTTCACATCATTCTGGCGGTTTCTTTGTGGGCGGGCGGGGGAAAGGCGGGGGCACATCCCTCGGAGAAAAAAAACAAATAAAACACGAAGAAAAAAAAAAGGCACTCCCAAAAAAACAAACTCAAACAAAGAAGAAACAAACTCTCTTGTTTTTTAAGAGAAGAAAACAAAAAACTCAACAAGACCGAGTCCTTTTTGGTCAGCCGGGGACCTCGTTGGATTCGGCCACGGGCCCGGGCGCCCTCAATAGACAGATTGGCCTAAGCCCGGGGAGCCTTTTCTCAAACGTGACTCAGCTTTTCAAACACGAGGATGCTATGGGTATGGGTCAAAATGATTTGGGGACCGCAGGTTTTGGTCCATGTAAACCCATTTACCAGGGCAAGCCATGTTAGCTTTTTATGGGTCGAAATGAAGGGGTTACCACAGATTTGAGCCCCTGCCTTTCTTTTTATCAGGGTTCCATGTTGGGGTTACCATTCTTTTTTTTGACCGACGGGCAGAAAAAGGTGTGCTTGGTTGGAAGGATCCAACAAATCAAACACTGCAGCTTGGGCATTTAAAGAGGCGTCACTTAAATGACTCAACGCTTTGGGGGAGAATTATGACCGCCTTAGGATGGGTGTCCCTTTGGAATCCAGACCGGCCTTCGGCAAATCGAGGGTCGAGACTTCTGCGGACGGGTGGTTCGAAAAAGCGCAACGAACGGGTTGCGCCGCTTTGTGGGGGGTTGACAAAATTGGGGCGCCCTTGTGGTATATCTTGAGAACCGCCCCCCCCATTTGAGTTTGTCTCCAAACTGGGGAACTCCACCCGAAGCCGGTTGGTTTCTCTTTTGGTTTCCACTTGAATCCGCGAATCAACCCCACCCCAAAACAGAAGTTAAACAACGACGCAGCCCTTCAATAGTAAGACAACATGACCCCGGTAGAACCGCGGCTCGCGTTTTCTGGGCAGTGTTCTTGAAGTTTTGAGTGTGCGGTGTTGCCCGAGCAAGCCAATCCCTTGAGCACTTGAGCGTGCATGCACCCAAGCTTCCGGGATAAACGTCCTTTCCCAGTCCCCTCTTCCCATGAAAAGGACAACAGCAGACCCTGAACCCTTGGGCTTAGACATAGATATGATTGGACTGGTTTCAGTTTGGTTCAATGCTCACTTACTTGCCAGTGGTCCATCTACTCCCCTGCAAACAAATACATGGATCCCCCCAAAAAGAGACACCCAAAAGTAGAGAATTCTCTACGACTGACATTGTTTGGGGGTTTCATATTCATCCGCAGTATATTTGGCAAAGTGACCTCAAGGCACGTGCTTCACATCATCCATTTGCCTGTTTACGGGAACTGGGGAAAACACGCTTGCTCACCGTTCTTTAGAAATTGCTTCTTGTGGCAAATCCATTTCTTATTGCAGGTTTAAGAATTACCTCCTACTGCATTCAGAACACAAGCTGATAACCTGGTTTTCCATGATTAATACCACCCTGTTTTCGTCAGGGCTTGACATCATACCGATCACACCCTGAAAACTAGGGGGCAATGACACTCGCAGTCGCAGCGCCCAAACCCAAAACTGCCGCTAGGCTCGTGAGCCAAGGGAGCCACGTGAAATGACACTCACCAAAGCGCAAACCAGGACCGGGTCTCCCCGAAGGCTATCTTTGTCAACCTCGGATTACAGAAGTCTAAGCAAGACCTTAGTCCGAAGAGCCCTTCATAGATGATTTCCTGAACCCCTGATTTCCTGAACCCCTGATTAGTATAGTCCTTCGGATGAATCCGCTGAGTTCCTGGATACTTTTCATGGAGATCATTCTCGGGGCAAATGCAAGACTCAGCCTGTTGGCCAATCCTCTCAAGGGAGTTTTGGACTATTTGTAGTCAATCCGAAAGGTGGTCAACTTGTGGTTGGTTTTCCTGATTCGGTCTATTTGACAAGTGTCCAGAAAGGTTCTTTGCTTGCAAGCGAGATGACGTTCGCGGTTGGAACCTTCACGTGCGTTGTGCAGCAGCCCCACCCCTCAACACCCGCACTTTTCCGGAGGAAACCGAGCAGAAACAGACTCCTTGGAGAAAATCACGGCACTTTTCTCTAAGGAAACCAAGCAGGAAAAGACTCCTTGGGCGCTAATCACGGCGCTTTTAAAAAAGCGCCGCCTGGTTTGCCAAACCGTTCTCCCTCGCAACGCCGCCATGGTGCGCAGAATGTTGCTGCAGCTGGCCTTGCCGCTGGCATTGCCCCGTAGCCGCGTTACCTTTTCCGGCACCGAGCGGGTTGTTCCATGTTGCTCCCGTATGGGTGGCTCGTCTTGTTTGAGAGTGCGGAAACCACAAGGAAACCTTTCTTTTTTTGGGGGTGGAGGGATTCCCACCCATATATATATATATATATTGTTGAAACGGTTTCCGTGTGTACAACTAACTAAAGTGTACCCTGGATCTAATTAGCACCCTTCCTATGAATAGAGGTTTCCGGGCCCCACAAAAGGGGTCCTTCTTCCGGTGCACTTGTGCTCATGGCCACTGCTTGCCCGTTCGATAGTCCTAGCAGGAACCCCACTTCAAGTTGTGGTCTGGTGTGCTTTCAGGGGTTATTATCGACCCCTTCCCGAGAATCTGCAGGTTTCCCTTGGCTCAGCACTCTTACCCTGTTTGACCCTAACTGTAGTTCACTCCCTTAGTTCCCGGACTTACGTGGGACCATCTTAGTGGCAAAGACACCATTGTTGTTGCTTTGACCCACTCAGCGAGCCGTGGCTTGCTTTTAGTTGCTTACCTCAAAATCAACCACAGATTTTGGGGAAGGGGTGGGAATGAACAGGTCGGGGATCCCACTAATGTTGACCCCGGACTAATAAACCCCTGTTTATTCATATGGGGGGGATTTGTCACTTTTTGAGGGGAACACTTCCATATCAAGAAGCAGAGGTCTATTAATCCGGGGTCAACATTAAGATGGTCCAACCCACCAACAAGGCAGTCCTTTTCCCATGCGACCGACTCGCCTTCGAGGCTCAGCATCAGCCACAAGGCCGCGGCCTTTGCGCCCGCTTCGGGCAGCCCTGCGCCTCACGGCTTCGGCGAGAGGCAGGGCCTGGGTCAATGTTTAGCTGAGACATGAAGTTATCTTCATAGCCATGGGCAAAAGACTCCTTCCTTGCAGGGAGTTGACAGGAATCCTTCCTTACAGGGAGTTAACAGGAATCCTTTTTTACAGGGAGTTCACAAGAATCCTTCCTTAGTGTTGATTCTGTTTTTCGCAATTTTTTGTTTCGGCCAGCCGCTCAGCGCGGTCTGAACGCCTTTAATCTCTCAGGACGATGAGCGGGTCTTCATCCACAGCGCATGCCTTATGCGTACCAGATCGCGGTGGAAGCTCTGTCCAAACTCCATCTCGGTGGGGCCGCCGTTCGGGGACACAGTTTTTGTGGGCCGCGCCATCGCTGCCATGCAGCGCAGTGGTCCCCCTCTGCGCAAATTCCTTCTCCCTACACTTGGCGGGCCGAGTCTGCCAGAGTTTCGACGACCCGTCGCGGTGGCCTCTCTCGACGCTCGCCTGCGCCGCCGTGCAGAGTTTGGTTCACTGGCGCAAGGGGCGCCGGGGATGGTCATCTACCTGGTAGCAAGAATTATTGATGACCACTTAAATGATCCATGACCATAGGCCAGATAAAGTTTTGACCATGGCGCATATCTCCTATGCTAGGTTAGAGTAATCTCCTCGGTGTTTGTTTGGAGTAGCAGGTTTGAAGGGAAGCTATAAACTATAGGGTAGGCGCAAGCTGGGCCCATCGGGCCAAACAAGAGCCCCTTTCATTGCAGATCCTTTCCTTGCCGGTGAGCAGCACTCAAATCCAAGCCCCAATGTCGATTGAGTCGCAGGGCTTCTGCTACCTTGTTTGATGGCTTCGCAATAAGCCATACATAAACTGATGTCCGTTTTGGTCCTTGGTATAACCAGAAGACCATAGGGGAGACCATAGGCGACGGAACCCCCTAAAATGTGTGGTTTCCCTGTGGTTTTCCCTTAAAACCGCAAACAACAGGGTGCACTCAAAGAATGAAACACCCAGATTAAATATGAATTCGTGGCAAGCAACAGGTTGGTAATTTGCGATTCTATGGAAGTGAGGAAAAGGGTATCCACGTTTAAGCCTATAGGTAATCACGGAGCTTGCCCCATGGCTCACCGTTGGAATTCTTGGCGCTGAACCACACCCCAGAGAGGAGCATATGGAAATCACCCGCAGCAATATGCCTCACTAGGCAGCATCCGATTCCTGATGTGGATCAGCTTTCAGTGCAAAGAAGGGAGGGATTTTCACCTAAAGAGAACCTCGAGTTCCTCAGTGGCAGCCCTTATCCCTTCTTACTTTGTGGGTTCCCCAACCATGGTCAACCCGGTATCTCAAAATCGGGGACCTTCTTTTGTTTTCTGGGACACTCCAGGAACCCGAGCAACCTTTGGGAGACACAGCCAATTCGTTACCTGAGAACTGAACACTTTGGCTCCCAGCCATCCGGTCCCTCAGTTGATTATATTTTTGTTCTCTTGTTTAGTGGTTGGGTTTCCGACTTTAGCCCACAAGTTCGTCACTTTCAGCGGGGGATCGGACAACGGACAGGCAAATGGTCACAGGCTGAGTGACTCCGCCCCAGGCCTCGATTGCGGCTGAAGTCGCGGCCTGCGACTTCGCGCTTCGCAAGCGCCGGGGACTCGGGGACTCGGGGACTCAGAGAGTTATAAAAAGTGTTTGACATGGGCTCTGCCTTCGGCATTTCGAGGGGGTCCCGAGTTTTATTTCTCCGAGGTTTGGCGGCCTGGGTCGTGGAAGGGTCCCCGGGTCGGCCGGTGGTCGGTCGGTGGGCGGTCGGCCGGTCGGTAAAAAAAAGGCCGCTCAGAACCTACCTGGAGTCTCCATGACCCTTGAAAAGTGGCTCCATGACCCCTTTATTTTGGGTAATGACCAACCATTTTTAAAGGGTCATAGAGACTCCAGGTAGGAAAAAGAGCCTTCTGCCACTTAGAGGGGGATTAGGGGAGGTCAGGGGAGGTCAGGGGCCTTCTGGGATTTCGAGGCTTAGTGCGACTGACGAGCGATCAGCCAGGTTCTTGATTCCGTTGCGCATTCGAATGCTGAATGACCAAGGTGTTTCAATCTACCCAATGAATTGGCCCTGAAGCATGAGGCTTGTCAAGGAGAGTTGATGTTCCAAGTGATGTTCTGTTTTTTGCACCCTCCCAAAGGAGACCAAATGGAACACCCCTCTTGAGGGGTTCCACCCACCAAAAAAGTATACATGGTTGCATGATCATCCAAAGGCCTGCTTTTCGCAGGGTACTGGAAGACCAAAGCGGATGATGCCAACACGGTTTCTATAGACGAGGGCGTTTCAGGTATGACTGTCCACCGTTTGGATATTCGGCAAATGACTGTGTCCAACCATTTGCCAGTGCCAATTTGTTTCTTTTGTGGGGGAAGGGTGTCCGTTGAGGATCAACCAACCAAATAAGGAGTGCCCTTTTCTTTCCATGGCCTTGCTTCTGAGCTCAGCCACAAAACATGGACAACAATTGGGGTGCCTTTTTTGAGATCATATTAAGGGAAGCCAAGAGGACACAGCTATGACAAACCAATTTTCAAAGGGCGCTGCACCAATGGCGGGGGTTGGCTGAAGCATGTGTGTTTGTCCTTTTTTGAGGGTACCTTTTTCAGGCTGGCTTCATGGAAACAAAAAGGGCACCCTTTCCATTTGCTTTAAATGTTGGTTTGGTCGCTGCCTTTATTTTGAGACAGACCCATATTTTGGTTCGGCCAAGTTGGTATGTGGGTGACCTAGACTACAACCCAGCCCCTTTTCGTGGAGTGAACCTGGTTGAGTTTCAACCCAGCCGGCCACTTGCCTTGACCCGAACATCCCAGTGGATCCCTTGCTCGGTGATACCTTTTTCGCGAGTGGTTGCGAACCGAGGCCAAAGCCGCGAAAGCAGACGCTCAAGGCGGGAATCCAGTGGAAAGATGACCAAACCTCCTGTACAACAGCGGACTCCAACCAATTCAGGTCAGCAACGTTAGCAGGGGCTACGCAATTGCTAATAGTTTACTTCTAAAGCCTGACAAAGTTTGGTTTCAAAGTGCCTCGAATTCCAACTCTGTTCATTTCGCCCCTTATCACCCATGCCAGCCGCAGGCTGTAGATCGAGTTCGCAGCACTGCTGAATCCCTGGAGAAGGTCTGGCAAATAGACGCCCATGCTTATGAACTCCAAAACAAGTCTTTCCTTTTTGACCTCAAGACATGGGGCTCCAAGATGCAGCGCTTTTGGTAAAGGTCCCTTGAACTCCGCAAACGATCATCTTGTTCAGATCCCCCGAAAAAGGCCGGGTTGCTGTCTGAGGGCCGAAAAGGATTGACAGACTCAACTTACCTTTTCACGCTCCCTAAGGGTCCCGACTGGTCTCCAAATGGATTGGTGTTTTTTGGGCCCTTGAGGAATTGGTTTGGGTTCTCCATTGGAGGGTCCGGGGGCCTGCATTGGAGGGGTCGTGACCCTCAGGTCTGTTGCCCTTTTCGTCTGTTAAGTCAACTTTTTGCACGTAGCCTCAGCGCGGGGACACGAGACATGGCCACGGCTGGGGTCAATTGGTTGGCATCGCTCGGGCAAAGGACTCGTTGGGTCTCGAGACTCCAAAACTACGCCCTGCACAGATTGTGTTACCCACGGATTCTTCTAAGGGTACCTTTCCCATTCTTTCCAGGGATCCTGCTTTCTAGAAAACCTCCGGAAACCCAGGGAAAACGGCCGGTTATTGAGAAAAACAATGGTTGAAAAGAATGGGGAATCAGCCCCTTGAATTCTGCCATACCTCTTCTGTTTCTCAATGTGGCCCTCTCGTACCACGAGATGCATGAGACTCCGTAGCTCTTTGCTTTTTCGATGTGTGCAGCATTGTCGTATGGGGAGTTTGTTTTTGCCAGCCGACCGACTTATTCTTCGAAACGGAAGTCAGAACATCTCATTTTTCCTGGGTACCCATGGGCCAAGACGCGGGTTTAAGTATGCGGCGCCAGGCGCGCTCCCGAACTACCTCAAAGTTTTGGCCCAAAGGATCTTCGGCCGAAGCCTCAGCGGACCGCGACGTCCACGTCCGAGCACTGTCCAGAGAAGCACACCCCGGATCCCTGTGAGAGGAAATTGGTATACTCACTTCCCGGGTTCATGGACATTAAACTTTTAGGGAAGACCATGTTAGTGGCAAAAGAAAAGTTCAGACTGTTTATGACCAGCCCACTCAGGAAGTGAGTTTGTCTTAAGGGGGGACCCCCCAACATGGTGGGGACCCCCCAACATGGTGGGGACCCCCCAACATGGTGGTTGTCCTTTGACTTTCCCTTTAAAACAGCCCAACAAACAGTGGCTCCCTCGAAAAAGACGCCCAATTCTTACAGAAGGGTTGGGATATATGCTCAACAGGTATTCCGGAGGGTTTCGGAGTTTGAGCCTAAAGGGTGGTTGGTCATGATTCACTTCCTGACGTGGAAGCCGACTGGTGGGCTCGTTGCCTTGTCCCTGGCAAGTTCTTGGACTTGGTCAACTTTTGGGATCGTCAAGACTGAGCAGACGTGAGCGGCTGCCCCCTCCAAATCAACCAGACACCTAAACAAACGCTTCCCCAAGTGCGGAGGCCTCGCTGCACGCGGCATTTTTTTTGGGGGGGTGATCTTTTTGCCCTCAGAGTCACCACCCCAATGCAGACCTTCCTGGGTCCTAAGAACCGACAGCAACCAATTCCTGTGCAAGTTGACAGCTTCCATTTGCTGAATTGAATATGTGTTTCATTTTGCCGTCTTGGTTTACAGGGAAACACTACTGGACACATGTTCTCTCTTTTGTTCCTTTTTCTCCGGGGCGAATAAGCAAATGGAAGACATGGAATCTTCATGTGAATTTCCGTTTCTTTCGGGGCCCCGAGCTTCCCACGTTCCAGGGGTCGCGGTCTTCGTGGGCGTGTACTACGTGCAGGGCATCTTCGGATCCCACACGCCGGCCCATTGCTCAACAGAAACGCCATCTGAACGTGGGGATCCCTTACTTCAGTTCTTGGAAGACATAGATTCCAAAAAAAATCGGATCCCAGGATTGGTCAACCCCCAGATGCCTTCTCACTTTCAGTTCTTCCCACTTTCTGAGTTGGACTTCAAGCTTTCTGAGCATTTTGCTGGTATATACACAAACAAGTTTGGACTTTTGTTCGGCCCATCCACTGGGGAAGTGAGGTTTCGAAGACTGGAACGGCTTGGTCAACCCCCAGGTGTCTTGTGGGGCATTGAAGGCAGCACATCATGTCACGGAAGGTCTCAGACTGATGTCTGTCCCCATGTCTATCATGTCTAACATTCCAAGGCCTGGCCCGCAATCGCGGGGCAGGGACAGCTGCAAGGAAGAAGATCTTGGCCGAAACATTGCGCGAAGGTCTGGCCCAGGTCCTTTCAAAAGCACCCCCTTGGCCATGGCATCGCAAGTCGATCCTGAGTCAAGTCGCCGAGGTGGGAGGGATGCTGATCGTCTTCTTTTCGATGCTCGCCCTCGAGCAGATGAACCCAAGGCGCCTCTTTAAGCACAAGTGTCCTTGGTCCAGCCATCCCCTTAGCTTTTTAGCTTTGCAGTGTTTAGTGGTGATTTCCATTTAACCCACTAAAAGTTGGTCACTTTTAGCGGGGGAGCTGAAGACGGACAGCCCAGTCTCGCACTTTTAAAAAGAATAGCGGGGGAGCTGAAGACGGACAGCCCAGTCTCGCAGCGTGGTTGTTGTGCATTCCTCAATGCGCACGTTGGGGAACCGGGACCTGCACAATGCGTGCTGTCCAAATTCTGGGAGTGCCCCAGGAAACCTGATAATTAAAGGCCTCCCTTCTTGGGTGACTTTACAGGCTCGCCAAAAGGAAAGCCACCATTTGGGGGGGGGGGGGGGCAAAAAAGACACCTATTTTCATGTTCCACGTTCCAGCTTCTTGATACTATCTAAGAGGGTGTCCCATTCCCCACAAGCCACTCCCAAGCGAAAACCGGGTATGTACCCCTATAGTATTATAGTGCTTGTGTACCCCTGTCCCATTTCTCTTGGATAGTACTATAGTGGTTTCAGGGGTAGTGGAAACCCTCTTGGAAAATAGTTACACACATGAGCAACCATCAAGACCCGGGTAGCCGAAGGTCTTGAAGGGGCAGTTCCAACCATGAATCGGTGCGGCCGCCCTTACAATTCTTTTGCTGCTTGGATTTCAGGTCGATGCCATTCAGCACGCGGTTTGGATTATGACTGATATGACCCCTGTGATCATGACTCAAGGTGTTTTTGAGGTACCTCACAACCCCATCCTAGACCTTTATAACTTGCAGATTCTCCGATTCCCGCCAGGGAATGCCACTTCTGGTTTGCTTGTGGTTTCCCCCCGGGGGGGGCTTCCGGTTCATTCCCACACCCCATCGTTCCATCTATTTGCCAGTTCTCAGAGTTGGAATGACCCCATGTTTCACCACCCAGCTGGTGGCTTCACTGGTTCTTTCAATTTCCCTTAAGCCCTTGATTCCCTACGGCACCATCACGCCGCAGAACGCCCCCTGAAGACGAATTTGAACAAGCCAAACCTTGGTTTATGTTGTGTTTGGGGACACATTGGTGGACATCAGAATTTGGCGGACATTCATATCCATTACTTTTCGCCCAAAACGAATCGACCTTTTGACCTTTTAGTTTCCCCTTGGTTCATTTTTGGTCATGACCCCAAACGGTTACCCTCCAATCCACTAACGTGGAACCTGACTGAGGGGTCCTGGAAGATGTTTTCCCTTAAAAGGGAATCTGTGGGTTCCATGTTAGTGGACAGGAGGGTAGCACTTTGTTGGGTTCGAAGTGGGCATCTGAGACCACCCGGTAAGCCGGTCTCTCGCCGCAGGTTGGCCGGGAAGGTCTTCCGCGTCCTGGAGCCGGGCTACCGCTTCCTGGTGAAGTGGCCGGGACTCGAGTCGCGTCATGTCTCGGTCCCCCAGCTAGGTGCCCTTCTCTACCGTTTCTTTTTTGGGGGAGGGTTCCCCTACTAAAATAGACTACAGAAAAAAAGGGTACCCTTATTCTACCCGCTCTACTGGAGGACCTAGATGTCGTATCACGCTTCCGAAAGCCGAAGCGTCCGCCCGACGATCCAAACGGGGACCGAACGTGACACGCGCTGAAAGACGGTCCCTGGATCTACCCGCGCACCACTCATCATGGAACCTGACAGGAGGTCGCCGTACGAGGAAAATGGTCTTCAGCACTCCCTGAACGTCAGGTTCCGTGTTATTTGGCTGGAGGGCAAGTAGAACCCCTCCGAATTTGCTTGGGTTTCCTCACTTTCACGGTCTCGTTTGCTTGGAAAGCAGCCAACATCCCCGGCAATTCCATGTCCCTTGCAGGTGTCCAAGGGAAGCCGGGATCCGCTGGCTTGGGTTTATAACCGTTGGGCCCTGGTTGCTTGCCTTCAAAACCAATTGAACAGGTATGAATCGAGGTTTGTTTGAACGAATGAATGAATGAATGAATGAATGAAATGAAATGAAATTACATGAATGAATCAGGCTGGGTGGGGGACTATCCAGAAGCAAGCAGTGGACCTTCTGAAACTAGGGTCGGAATTCATCAAGCAGGTCCAAAGCGATGACTTGCGCATGCGCAGGCTCATTGTCTTCTTCGTGCCAGCGCTGGTGCCGTGCTCAGATGGCAGGCGCAACAAGAAGTCCCTGGCCAACCGGTTTCTTGCTTGAAGTCGCAGGATAAAAATCTAACAAGTGGCTAGTAACCATGCTTATAGTTCACCTACCGTGGTAGTCCGGCGAGTGGGTTCTAAGCAGAATCACTTGCCAAATTATGGGGAGTGTTTACCTTATGAATCCAGAGAGGGTTTTCAGTTTGGGAAAACGGGGAGGCGGGGTTCGGGAAACCGGGGGTATGTATGAGGGAACGGGGCCAAACTTGGATGACCCGTCAGACTAGTCTCCTGTCTTATTTGTCCCCGGAGATTCCCCGAGTAGCCTTATTTAGGAGACTTGTCCCGCTAATTGACATGGACCCATTTGTTGAGCTCTTCCAAGGAAACCTTTGGGTTCCCTCCAACATAGGAACATGAAGCACCAAATTGCTTAACCCACCCCCAAAAGCCAAAAGGAAGATCCATTTTAGCGGGTTCGGTGTTCCCAGGAGTCAGCTCGCTTTGGCACTGCTCTTCTTGGTGTGTCCAAGGTCACTTGCTTCCATTTGCTGAAGTGACTCTTGCTTATTTTCCCTCCTGGTGTTACAGGGAATCTATTACTTCTGCAATATTCTTTGTTTTTTTTCCTGGGGGGCTAAAGCAAGCGCTCAGGTCCGTGTCTCCCTCATCCATGCTGAGCTGGGAGTGGGCGGCCTGATCCGCAGCTTGGCCGGAGATGGGATATGTTTGGAGATCACTTGGGACCTCCTGCAGTAAGAAAGGTTGTTTCAGGTTCTCACTTCCTGGACTTTATGCTTTTTCGAAAGACCGGTTTGCTGGTAAACAAAAAGAAACATACTTGTTTGGCCACTCCACTCAGGAAATGTTTTTTTGGTTTCAGGGTGGTTTCAGCTTGGTTTTTAAAGGGTGAAAGCGGGAGAACGATCCACCGTCAACCTTCAACTGGGGACTTGGTACTTTTGTCGGGGAGCACCATTTGAGCGTTTTGTTTCCTTTTCTTTTCTCGAGGGCACCCCTGTTTGTGGCAAACCAAAAGGAACACCGACGCCATTCTGGGGGGTTTAACCTAAAAGAGACACACCCATTGAAATGTGTGGTGGTAAACAACAATATGCTTGTTTGCCAATGCACTCATAAATAAAGTGAGAAATGGAGCACTGTTGGTCAACGACCAGCCCAAAAACAAAGGAAACCGAGGACCAGGGTTTGCCTTTCCAGGGTTTGTGAAATGAACCTTGAAGGCTGCAGGGGGAAACCATTGCTAATGACAAAGCTTGGAACATACGTTGGTCAGACGTACACTAGCCATGCGAGCGATTGGAGTTCGCACATGTTGTGGACCCCTAGAAAGCGTCGATCCGCTGACCCGGCGGTACAACCCGTGGAAAAGGGTTGGACAGCTGAAGCATGGAGATGTGCGCTTCGAATCGCGCGCGTTGCAATTCTCCGATTCAGATTACAAACGAGCGAACGCCATGATGTAGTGCTTTACTGGGGGGGTCTCTTATTTCAGGCTTTGGAATCATTGTAGAAGTTGCAGATGGATGTGTCCCGTTGTTTGACTTTAACTCGGCACCAAACATACTCAGTTGGTGCAATAGAAAACGGGGCCTGACTAAGGGGGAGGTTGTGCCTGCTAGTTGTGTTGTGGTCTTCGGCCAAGTTAGTAAGTTGTCGATAATTGGTAATCACCCGCTCTAGGTGCACCTGAGTGAAGTTGACCCTCATATGAGTGGGTAAGCCAAGTGGCTCGTAAGTGCGGTATAATCCTAGTGGCCCTAGTGGCCAAGCGCTGACGGCGCTGACTAACTTGGCCGAGAAGCCAAGTTAAGAATGAAAGAGGGACCTGTATGAATCCCTTTTACCAGAAACGTGTTGTGAATGTGTTTTTGTTTGTATTCCCTTCCTTTTTATAAGCGGACGGACTTCATTTGGCAGTGGGTCAAAAATAGGTACCCAAAATGGAACCCTAGGTAAATAGAACCAAAGACTACAACCTGCGGTTCAAATTCTGGTGGCTTAATTTTGACCCACACACATTTTTGTATAAATTTCTTGGTCCAAACCCCTATTGTGACGCATCCCCAAGTATGGCCGCCTGAGGTGTGCTGCTGCTGCTACTGGTGGGCACCGTGGCTATCTCTCTTTTCTGGGTGTACGCTTGTTGGGTTTAAAGGGGGACCACAGGAAGCCTGTCATTTCTGGGCTTCCCCTATTTTGAGGCAAACCCATATCTCAGAGTTGCCGGACCTTATACTTGTTCGGAAGAAGATGTGCTATTGGATGACCAGTTTGGACTTGCTTTGTAATGAACTTGGGGCCTTTGGTTTCCTCAATGTTGGCAACCATGGTGGGATCTCAGAACATATTATATGTAAGAATGAGTAAATGAGAGTCAGGTCATCCTATGCCTTGGTTTTCAAATTTTAGGTGACACCCCAACAAATGTGGTTCCTTTTAGTGACCCCCCAGACAAATATGCGAAATATGTGGCCTATTTTGAAAAATGCGGTGACCCCTAAAAGACATGTGGTTTCCTTTTAGTTCCTTCAACGAGCCAAAAAAGGCGTTCCCTAAACGACGCACCATACGTTCATTGAGTTGGGACAAGGACATATTGGGCCAAAGACATGCGGGTTTTGGGAGGGAAGTCGGAAGCGAGAAAGCTCACGGAGGTCCCTTTAGCTCAGACCGAAACGAAAGCCATTTGGGGATCCCTGATTTTAGCTTCCTATTATGTGTTTTTGTCTGGGGATTCCGAAGATTTTCAGGTAACCTCAACAAGAATAGGTTCAATTCAAAGCCACCAATCCAGTCCATCCAGGGTCAATCAGGTACTCCTTTGTTCGTGGTTTGGATTCGTTTGGCATTTGGTTCTTGTAGAGGGTAGATGGGGACAACACCTCACGACCAAACCACCAATTCAGGACCAATTCAGGTTTGTGAACAAATGTTGCCCCGGATCTAAGTAGAACTCGTCACCATGAATCGAGGTGCCCCTCCAAAAGTGGTCTGAGCCCCCAACTAAAAGGGGGGCCGCGGTCAGGGGTGTATGAACTTGGTCTTTGTGTTTAGTGGGGATTTCCATTTAACCCACTAAAAGTTAAACTTTTAGCCGGAGATCTGATAATTTGCCACCAAATCCGTCCAAGTCCTTGAGGCGAATCCGGACATGTTCACCAGAATCAAATCTGTGTCCAGGGGTTGGTTACTAGTCGTCTTTGGCCAAGTTGGGTTCAGTCTTTTGTAGAGGTTATGACGACCCACTGATAAGCTTCCCTGTTTAGTGGGACCCTGTTAGTGGGATTCAATCCAAGTCGCTAATCGCTTACTAACCTGGCCAAAGGTTCAAATGGTTTCCCTTTTAGTTTTAATGATTTGATATTTTGGGGTCGACTGAATGTGAAACAGAAGCAGGTAATCTGATTTTCTCTGCCAAACCTCAGCTAGGCTGGGCCAAGCCTAGGCTGGTTCATCACCTTCACCGGCACGGCGGCTATCGCCAGCACCCTGGCCAGATAGCGGTTTTAAGCGACGCGACTGGCGTTGCGTACGCGATGCGACCGAAGCCACGCGTTTGTCGTTCCAGCTCCTCATGTTGGCCAAAGTTTCAGGATTCCTTATATGTGCCGTGGTCAGGAGACCTTACTTGGGGATTCGTGGACAAGAGCTTTTCACAATTGTCACAGGGGTTCTCGTCACGGAAGCTTTGACCATGACTCAGGATGTTTGACACTGGCTCCAAGGGTTGATTCCCCATCACGGCCAGAATCGCAGAGGATACCAGCCATTCTACGGGCTTGCCATTTTGGGAAACACCCGTATGTAGGCAAAGCACATCTTGCTATGGATGTCATCAGCCCGCGAGTTGGCATTCTACTTGGATGTTTGGCCAAGATAGCAAGTTGTTGGCAACCTATAGGTAATAACGCACTGATAAGTTCGCCTAAGTTGCGCCACCCAAGTGGCTAACCACTCAACTTGGCCAAGACTCGCAGTAGACAACCATGGATACGGTTTGCTATTTGGATGCAACCATGACCATGGCCCACTTCGGACTCATCAGAGACCGAAAACCACGGCCCACGAAAGGAGGTTTGGCCATGACGTCGATATTATTCTCCTGGTTCGGTTGGAAACGTGGGGAGCCCAGTTTTTTGTCCCGAAGATTGAATCTTCCATTCCCAGGTTCTGGCAATGAGGAGGATCTAGCAGCATCCTTCCAACTCGGGTTTCCAAATGAAACATTCATGCAAAGCCTACCCCCTACTCAAAATACCCGCTTTTTTCAGGTTTTGTTTTGGGAAAACCTGGTTTTCCATGGTAAATACTTCCTTTTTTAGTAGAGGGTCGACATGATACCCTGATAACGAGGGTATTTGAAGTAGGGGGTAGAGGTAAATCCCCTGGCAACCTACAGTTGGCCAAAAGTCTATTCAGAGTTCATCACCCTTTGGGCAAGCGGCTTTTGCCCTGCGAAGTGGTACACAGCTGGGGCCCTCCAAACTCATGCTCATGCTATGTCTCAGGCTAAATGGGTGTATCTCTTTCCGGACCCCCCCAAAATAGCTTCGGTGTTCTTTTTGGTTTCCCTAAGCCACGAACACAATCGGGGTTCCCTCAAACAAATTGGCGCACCCCGACGCCATACGACACCGAATCAAACCATTCGGATTGGACCCTTGGGCCCCTGAGAACCAGCGGCCTAGGCGCGTTTCCGGAGCCCAACCTGGAGGCGCCGGCACCGAGTCCGGAACCAACGCGCCTGGGAAGCTTTGCGGACCTTTTTTTTTCGGGCAGCCGCGGGTTGCGGGGAGGGAGGGAGGTGTTGTTCTGTTGTTGTTTTTGTTTTGTTTTGGAAGGCCTACTTTGGTGTTCGTTTGTGAGCAAGTTGAGGGGAACACCCCCCTAGTAATAAACTGGGGTTGATGAATATGGGGTCAACACCACTGGGATGTTCGACCAAGTTGGCAAGTAACCTGGGTTCGAACCCATTCATAAGCCCCCTTAAGTGGAGGTAACCCCAGTTCGTGGTGTACCGAGGTGCCTAACCACTTCGAACCTGGAAGGCCGGACTTGTCCCGGTCAACTGATGGAACCCAGACATATGGAATAGGAGGAAGGTGTGATACCCCCGCCATTTTTCCCTATGGGAAAGACTATAGGTAAATGGAATGGGCTTTGAAACCAAGGGAAAGCCATGGTTTGTTCGTACAGGAAATGGTCATCTCAGGGTGTCTGATCGCCGTCCGTCCAGTCTCCCCCGTTAAGGGCTGAGGTGTCAGCAAGATTGCCGAGGCCCACGGAGAAGCCGGCTCCTGCGGACCGGCTGCCCTACTTTCGCTTCGTCGCAGCTCGGCCTCGAACCATGGGTTTTGAAGAGGTGCGTCATTTTTCGATGAAACCCCCCAAAAGTTGTGGCGTTCCTTTTGAGGTTGCGTTCAAACGACAAAGGAATGGAGTACCCTCAAAATAGGGGATACACCCAGAAAGATCGAGGGGATTGAATATCATAGTGGGAGTTTGGAGCAACTACTTCCCCGAGTTTCTGCATTTTGGGCACTTTTTGTGCTTGGACCAGTTTAGTTGTGAAACCCAGTGCATCCAGCTACTACAACAGGGAACCAGCTACTCTCCTTTCGTTCTTGTTTTGTTAATGGGAGGTTCCCATGGTGACCTACCTACACAGGTGTGTCTCTTTTTCGGAAAAAACAAAAGAAATAAATAAAACAAAAACGGATGGTGAACTGCGTTTTCCTTCAAAACAACCAAAAACGGGGACTCTGACAAAAAGACACCCCCCCACACAGGTTAAACGGAATTGGAAAAGAGTTCAGACTTGTTCGGATTCAGGAAGTGAGCCAAGGGTTCCCAGAGAAATTACTTGGACCGACCACCCGGAGTTTGCTCAATAGGGCCTTGGGTCGTCTGTTGGTAGGGAGATTTCCCAAAATGGGCTCCGGTTTATGTTTTGTATCCCTTTCGAACACTTGTGTCGATTGGTTCGCGGTGCGACTTCAGAACTGAACAAGCGTTGGGTCCAGTTTTGGGTCCACGAGCTGCCTATTTGACGGCTTCCCCCCGCCGCCCCGAGCGATTCCAGGGGATGTGGGGGTAAAACGAGCGCAAGCCATGATTTAGGTCTTTTACTCGAGGTTTTGGGAGTATTGCCCTAAGGGTCCCGACTGTTTTTGGGCCCTCCAAATGGGTTGTTGTTGAGGGCCCTTGAGGGGTCTTGGTTCTCCATTGGAGGGTCCGGGGTCTGCATTGGAGGGGTCATGACCCTTGGGGTGGTAGAATTTGCAGTCGCAGGCTTCCTTTTTGTTTGTCTTGGAAAATAGATTGCGATTCCTGGTTGTTTCGTGAGCTTCCAGGGCCTGTTTTCCCAAGAGACGCCCTATGAGACTCTTTTCCCAAATAAAACCCAGCATATGATTTCTAGGGGTCTAGGAACAAGAGGGAAAGGCCTGTCCGGTGATCCGCACCCTCAAATCTGCGAGTCACTTCAGACAGACCCGAAGGCTGGTACCGCGCTATGGTGCCAGAAACCTGGTACACCGCAGATCAACATGGAAGCTCAAGCAACACTATGTTTTGTTTGATGAATCTCATTTTGAGTGATCTCCTGTTTGGGTTCCATGTTTATTTGCAGAACACAAATCATATGTGTGGACCTGGTTTGGGTCTGCAAGAGCATGCTTTGGGTTCTTTGTTTTGTGTTCCAAGGAGCGTTTCCTCTGCTGCTGACACTGCGAACGTGGCTCATGTTTTCATGTTGTTCCACGTGTTTTGGAGGGGTACTGGCGGCCCCAGAGTTTTCCACTTGGCCCCTTTTCCGCCCCGTCGTGTTTGTCTCTGCGGGGAACGAGAGGGGGGGGTCCAGCGCGCCGAACAATGTCGGCGGATTTCTGCTCCCGCGTGACTAGACCTCATTTTTTCTTAACGGGCTTTTCCATTCGACAGGTGCTGGATAAACATATATGGTGCATTTGAGAGGGACATGGGGGATGCTCAAGCCCCATTAAATGTCAAGCAACTCACCATTTCGCATATCCCTTACTTTGGTCGGCCAAGTTAGCAAGTTGTAACCCCCGCTTGTAAGGTAGGTGACAACCCACTTGTAAATATCCCTCCCCCTTGCTGGAGTTAATCTTGTCAACCCTGGGTTATGGCCCAAGCGGCCCACACATAGTGTTTCCCGATATAGTCCCCTAAAATGGTTGGTATCCTCTAGCCGTACTTTTCCCATTCTCGTCAGGGATCCTTCTTTTCAAAGAATGGGCAACTCCCTGGGCAAGTGGGTGGTTTCTGCAGAGAAGGATGGGTGAAGTGAATAGGGAATCCTCAACATGTGCCATGCTCATTTCTTTTTAATCCAGGGGTAATCCTGAAGCATTCTGAGCTTGGCTTCCGGTTCCTCAGCTGTTTCGCTTCTTTTAGTGGTCGTTTCCGAATTCCCGCCACGAAAGAGGTTCGTCACTTTTGAGCGGCTCCGAAAACCGGACGCATGAGCCCAGTGAAGCGAACTTCCTCGGGGCGAATTTAACCCACCAATAGTGAGACGTGTTTCATCATAACCCCCAAAACGGAATATTTGGCCCACTGATTCAAGCCATGGTGCAATTTCGTGGCTTCTTACGCCCATTAAATCTAACCCCCAAAGCGGACAGACCGAAGAGAACGAGTGAATGGCCCAGGTGGGCATGATCCTCGCTGGGGCGGCCGCCAGCCTGGGCTTTGGAACTGGCTTCGATCAGAACCTCTTCATGGCGCCTCGGGGCTCACCGGGCGCCGATCTTTCGCCGCGAGCGACGCCGACTTTTGGTGGAGCCAGCGCTGATGGATGTGTGTGTATATGTGTTTTGTGGGTGTGGTTTTGAGTTTTTGGTGGTTGTTTGTTAGTGTTGTTCGGTGATGTTTGGTGATGTTTGGTTTGTTTTGTTTGTTTGTGTGTTTGTTTGTTTGCTTGCTTGTTCGCTTGGTTCCTTGTTTGCTTGTTTGCTTGCTTGCTTGTTTGTTTGTTTGTTTGTTTGTTTGTTTTTTTGGGTTTGTTATTGTTGCTTGGGTTTGTTATTGTTGCTTGGCGTTTTGGTGTTTCGTGGTTGTTTGGTGCTTTGGCGTTTCGTTTTTCCCCCCCCCCCTTTTTTGTGGTGATCTGTGGCTTTTTGGCAGGTTTTGGTGTTTGTTGTGCTTGAGAGTACCCCGATTCTGTGGATTGTTCGGGCACTCAAGGCTAGGGTCCTGATGATTTTGTTGAGCCCGTTTGAAATTCCGGGAACAAGTTGTATACCCTCAGTCCATCTTGAGCCGCAGCCATCCGGGCGCTCTTATTCAGAATGTTCAGGTACTCACACTCCCTGAGTTCATGGACGGAAACACACTTTTTGGAACAAAACAACATTTTAGAGGCAAACAAAAAGTTCAGACTGTTTTGACAGTCCACTCTTTGTTGCATTTTGCTTGGATGTTAGGACTTTAACTTTTTGCCAACTAGTGGGTTTTCCATTAAACCACTAAAAGTTTAACTTCTAGCAGGGCTTCGCAGATTTCGCAACCGAGCACTCGGGAAGCGAAATTACTCAAAGCCCAGGCATTATATCCACTCATTCCTTTCGGCCCATCGTTCTCAGGCTTCTCAGGCAACACCCGACCCTCTTGGCAATTTCAGTAGTTCTACTGCCTGGTTTTTTGCGAGGTTCTAGTAAGGCCTGTAAACACCTTAACCATGTGGTGGAACTAAAAGTCAGGCTTTGGGATAGCACCCATGTTACAATGTTCTGAAGAGAAGGATCGCTGAAGATAATGCAAACGTTTCGACTCTGCCTGCACTACCACCGTTTCGTAAGTTAGGTGTTACCATGGTTATGACCCACTTGCAAGTCCCCCTTATATTAGAGCTACTTATCAGTGTTGGCGGGTTACACTCATATGGTTCGGTGCTTTGTGGGAATTGATTCCTCTGACAAAGACCTTACCCAATATGACAACCAGGGCACAAGGAGCTTCACAACCACCCAAACACGGAACGGTGATTTTTACACGGAGCTTGGCGAAGATGGGAAGGTCAGGAGCGCTGAAGGACCGAAGGAGCCCTGATGCAACGGATACGGAGGAGCGCCCAGCAAATCCAGACAGATGGCAAGGCAGCCATCGCAGCCGAGTGATTTTAAGTGACTAGCGACTATTTCAAGTGATTCCAAGTTGTTGTTTTTTTAAGCAAGTGACCATTCAGGGCACCTCAAGTGGAAATTGGTGCGGACGTCGTGATGGTTCGGCGCAAAAGCATTTCCAAAAGGAAGGCATTGGCAAAGACTTTCACTTGCAAGTGGTTGCAACCCACTTGCAAGCCCCCCTTGGAAGCGTGAACCATGTTGATTGCGGGTTTTCTCAAAGGAAACCTATCTGAGATATGTCCATGGAAGACCATACAGGTATGTAAACGGCAGTACCCCTAAAGAACAATGCATTCCATGAAGGAAATTCCTTCAGGCGGTTGGTGTCCTTCCGCTTGAAACCGTCCAAACAGGGGACCCCCGTTTTGAGCACCACCCATACGGTATGACTGGCAAGTCTTACCTAGAAGGTTCTTCGCCAAAGATATCCACCACTTAGCTTGGATGAACCTCAGTGAGCTCTCCTTCTTTCCGTTCGCTTGCACTTTCTGTCATAACTAGCTCCAGGATTTTTTACAGCCAATTGGCCCAAAGCCTTCCTCTTTAATGGGTGTTTGGCTGATGTCCTGTAACATGTTTGACCCGCTTGCGAGTTCCTTTAGGTGGACTCAACTATTGTTGAAATTGTAAGTAATTGTGGCCGACCGATTTCATGGCTGAACCCTAAATGTGTGTAGGGTATGCTATCTGATTGAGGGGTTTGTCCCTCCAAAAGTGGTCTGAATCCCCACTAAAGGGGGACACCCTATCTCTCAAAATCAAGCAGGGGTTCTACTTAGATCCGTGGTTCACATTAAATTGGCGGAGCATCCGCATCGGTCTCTTTTTTTTCTTTCTCAGATCTGTGCTGCCCTGGCCGGCTTCACACTGGGCCGGCGCTTGCCGCCCAAGACGCAGAAGTTTGTCCACCCGCTGCTCGGCGCGGTATGTCGTCTTTTGGCCGCCTACGGGCGTTTGCGGGCTTGCACTGTGGAAAAACCTGTTCTAGGTCTCCCAGTAGTGCCCTTTTGCCCTTTTTTGGGGGAGGGCTCCCCTACTAAAATACACTACAGAAAAAGGGTACCCTTATTCTAGGTCCTCGCTGCTGGAGGGCCTAGTGTTGCCGTTTTAGCTTTACATGATTGTCCTTTCCTCTGTTGCCCAGTGGCGGCCTTTTTTCCTTCTTGTTGGGAAGGGTTCCCCTTTAAACTCAACCAACCAAAGAAGGATGCCCTCTTCCCATGGAAATCCACTGGGCATTTGAGGTCCTTACCAGCCAAAAAGCGAAACCTGGGTTTAGAGTTGAACAGCGACCAATTAAAGGAGTGAACTTATGGCAGGGCCAAACAAGCCGTAGCCAAGCCACCCCTACGCGATCCTCTAGACATCCAGGAAATTCAAAGGGTATCTTGGGGGCCCCATGGTGGTCCCATTTGTGTTCTTTGGAAATCCGGGAGGAGCCGCCGAAAAAGCTGGCGCCCATTTTTTCTCGCCTAGGTCTGGAAAGGGCGTCGGCCCAACTTCTTCTAGTCCTGGGGCCCTACGCGGCGAAATCCAGTTGGTCCAACGGAGCAATCCACGAAGAAACCAAAGAGATCGGCCATTTTAAATGGAACAAGACGCTGGCCGGCTGCCCTCCCAATCAACCTGGAACCCGGATGCGAATAGAAAGTATGGTTGTTGTTGGGAAACATTTTGCATTTTCGCTTGTTGTGGTTTAGGGGGAAATCCAACCACTTAACTGCTAAAATTCAAAAAGGTTGCTCCCCAAACCCGACGTCAACCAAGAAAGGAACATGTTGGCATGGGACCTGTGAGGTTAGATTTGCGAATGACTCACTTCCTGAGTCCATGAACTTTAAGCTTTGTGGGTTTGGACCATTTTAGTGGTAAATGTAAAGCTTGGTTACTTTTTCTGGGCCATCCACTCAGTGAGATGAGGCGACCGCTTCGCTTGAGCCGAGGCTCTTCGTTTGTGCCGCGGCCACCTTCGCCGCCGCTTCCATGTGGGTCTTCCTCGAGCCCGGCGCCTTCGATGGGAATCCGCGGATGGGAATCGATGGGAGCGGGAGGAGCTGAGCTTCTGGAAAAAGGAAGCCGGCCCCACGGCCGGCCCTAAGGCGCTGACCCGTTTTTTTGCAGCTTTTTTGTTTGGCCTTGGGGGAAGTTCCATCGTCTTACATTATTTCAAGCAGCAAGAAGCACAGAGTTTCTGCAGTCGGAGTCTCGGGAATTGGCCTTGGGGTTCCTTCGGCTTCCCATTCTCCGAAATCCGATTCGAGAAGCACAGATCACAGACTGGCGAAGGCCCGTGAAGCTGGGGGACCAAATGTGGAACACCTGTGGCTGCTTTCGCTGTATGGAAGGGTCTGCGCGCCAGTCATCTGAACTTTGGATGAACCCAGCGCACCATGCCACCCTTGTCGCGGGGAATTGGAACTTCTTTGGGAGACTCCTCGATGAGTGTGGTCCTCCTGATTTATCAGGGTCGAATCGTTGAATCCTTTGGGTTTGGAGTGCTTTGGGTTTTCCGCAGGCTTGGGGTGCTTTGAGTTTGGGCGCGTGGTTACTTGGATGTTCGACCAAGTTAGCAAGTGGTTAGCCACCTGGGTTATAACCCACTGTTGACTGGGCTGGCCCCACTTAAGGATGCTTGTTTGTGGGTTAGAACCAAGTTACTGACAACTTGCTAACTTGGCCGAAACCGGCTGAACTTTCCGGAGCCAACCACCAGATTTGCCCCCTTTCAGCCAGCGACAAGTTGTCACCGGGAGAAAGTTTGGCCCAGACATGGGAACGAGAGCCCCAAATCAACCATAGACTAACTCATGGACATGCCCTGTGATGTAGATTGGCTTGAAATAAGGGGACCATTTAAATGGTTATTCTTTTTTGGTTTCGAAACCAACCAAGGATACCCTAAAGAGACACCATTCCGTCCTCATGACCTCACTCTGAAGAGAATTCCCGCAGCCAGTGTCAATTTCACACCGCACCAGAAAATGTGGAATGATCCGATTCCCCTGTAAATCAGAAAACACTAAACGTTGTCTAACTAACGCAGTCTACCGCGATGCATTTTGCAGCAAAATGCAGCATTGGGCGTGTCTGCAACGCACCGGCGGCGCGCGACGTGGGACGCATCACGCCGCATCACGCCGCGCAGTACTCGCTACAATTGACGCAGCGCCGGCGCATGGCCGACGCATCACGTAGGACGCAGCACGGACGCAGCACTGATGCATATATCGCCGAATCTTGCCGAATGTCGCATAATCCTAGACCACATCTATTAGACCATGTTTAGCGTTTCCCTAGTAAATGCCAAACAAAAATCCTGCACCACCGTTCAGAAACCCTGGTTTCCGATGATTCCCCCGGTAAATGCCAAGAAAAAACATGGTTTCAACCATGGTTTCATTTCACCACCTAAGAAAATGTGGAATGATCCGATTCCCCTGTAAATGCCAACAAATAGTTTCAACCATGGTTTCGTTCCGTGCTGCGAACGGATTTCGTCCATATCGCAGCTCGTGCCCAGTGTTCCAACGCTTCATCCCAGGCATGGCACCGATGGACGTGCCCAGCGCTCAGCGAATGAGGTGTTGCGAGGTGTTCCCGGGTCCCAGGTCCATTGGATTCCGCGGGGTACCAGATTTTGGGTTGCTTTTCAAGGAAAAAACCCACAAAAGTCCCCCATGTGAAGACCCCCATATTTCCTTTTACAAAAATGCTTCAGATTTGTTCTTTTCTTTCCTGGTTTTGAAAGGATTCTATCGCTACTGGAAATGTGTTCGTGTTTCTTCTCGGGGACGTATTCGCACATGGAGACTATTCTTCGTAGAGGATGTGGGAGGCCTGTTCAATTGTCCTTGATAGCTTCCTGGTTTGGTCTCCGATATGTTAACTTTATATTATTATATTTTTTTGAATAATCGGACCTCCACAAAGTATTGGTTTCCTTTTGGTGTCCCTTTGCCAACCAAAAAGGTAGCCTCAAAAAAAGAGACACCCAGAGACACCAATATTAGTTCAGATTGACTGAACTATGAAGCATCCTAAATATTTGCTTTGGGGTACCATTGACACACACACACACCCACACACTTACACACCCACACACACACACACCCACACACCCACACACCCACACACCCACCCACACACCCACACCCACACACCCACACACCCACACACCCACACACCCACACACCCACACACCCACACACCCACACACCCACACGTCCCACACGTCCACACGCCCACACGCCCACACGCCCACACGCCCACGCGCCCACGCGCCCACACGCCCACGCCCACGCCCACACGCCCACGCCCACACGCCACGCCCACGCCCACGCCCACGCCCACGCCCACACCCACACCCACACCCACACGCGCACGCGCACGCACACGCACACGCACACCCACACGCACACGCACACCCACACCCACACGCACACGCACACGCACCCCCACGCACACGCACACGCACCCACACGCAGCACCCCCACGCACGCGCGCACGCACCCACGCACCCACGCACGCACGCACGCACCCACAAACACACACGCACGCACGCGCCATTGGGCCTGACTGTTTGGAAAACACGTGGCGGACTAGGTTTCTTGCACATGGCCGTTGATGGACAGATTGGGTGCATGACAGGAACCTCAAAAAGGGAGTGCGTCAAAAGCAGATTGTACTGAACATGATGTGTTTTCCTTTTGGGAAGGGTTATGGTCAGGAGAGTCAGCCTGCCCAGAAAGTACTGGCTTGTTGGCGATTACAGATTTTCTTTTGGGGCCATGGGCACCTAGATACACCTACACATGCCTACGCACACACACCTACCTGCACCTTCCTACAACACACACACACACACACACTGTGGATAGACGAAATCGTCAATCACCTCACATGATGATGCCCCTATACACACCAACGAACACATACCAACAAACAATGGTTTCGCCTGGTTTCAAAGTGGTGCGAAGCAGGTGTCGCAACCATCCCCAGCCCTCCCATTTGCTTAATATGTTTTTTTGTATTTTCCCTTGTTGGTTTTCAAGGGGCAATTTATCACTTCTGGACATATTTTATTGATTTTTCCAGGGGCCAAAAAAGGCAAATGGAAGCTCTGCTTTTGGGAACACACCTACCTGAGGATCCGGATCTATAGCGCTTGGCCTGGGGGCGGCGCACTGCTGTACTTCCTACTGCCCGTGGCTGTCGTGCACCTCCGGCGACGGTTTTTGTGAACCGATGGGTCTGGGGCCATGATTTTGCCTGTTTTTAGGGGTTATCAAGGGCACAAATTGGGGTTGCTTCCCTTTAACCTACCGCTTGGGGAGTGACTTTGACAATGGCGAAACAATGGGGCCAGTGGGTCTAAGAGGAAGTCTCCACTGACCCAAAACCACCCCCTTGGGTTGAATGGGATGTACAAAATGTTCGTAGCCACAAAACTAAGGGTATTATATACTACATATGCATATACCTGCGAAGCCCTGTAGTGCATTTTTTTCGCCCTTTGGGGAAACAGCAAGAACTTTCGACGCTTGAGGGAATAAACGACGTTTGGGTGGATTATCGCATTTTGCACTACCGTGCCCGCGCCTGCATGCTTCCCTCAAACCGCGGCTCGAACGAAAAACAAGCAACTAACATCACTGAGGATTCAATTCGCCGATTGCCATTGTTCAGACACACCAGGGCCTGTGTAAGTCAAACTGCCTAGAAACGATTCATCAAACATACCAGGACCTGTGTAGGTCAAAACGCCTGGCCGCGATGGGAGCCTGGCGCCCGGGCGCCCGGTTTTTACTTGCATAGCCTCGCTCTGGCGCGCAAATGCACGGCTCTGGCCTTGACAAGAAACAGAATAAGGGTCCTCCGCATTTGCAATCGCACATCCACTCGGCGAGCAAGCCTGCACACCCGGCCCACCAGATCCTCTCCTAGCTCATTGTTCCAGGCCAACGGATTGATGACGGCGGTGTGTTGCGCTTCTAAGGCTCTCTCCAAGTCTAGGATCAGGTGTCTATACGCATGGATTTTCGGAACCATCGCGAAGGTTGTAAGGCGTTGGTCAAAGGCATGCTGGGCCAGAAGCACGTAGCCATTCAAAAACGCAGTGCTGTACTGAACAAGCTGGGCTGCACACTTCGGGGCTAACCAAAGGTTGTGCGCATACATGAGCCTGTAGAAATCATCGCCCGCTTGCGCTGTTGCACGCATGGTTGACAAGAGCCCATGGTTGGCAGGCCTTTCCGCAGTCATGATGAGCTCAGTGAGGAGGGTGTACATCCAGCGTAAAAGCAGTGTTGCGTCCGACCCCTTCACGTTGAACCACGGAAAGTGTTTCCACGATTTCCAATTTAAAAGGCTTTTGCTGAATGACCTCAGCGAAGGGTTCTTGCCAACTGCGGTGCACCACAAGCTAAAATGCCCATGGGCTCGAAGAAGTTTGACGTCGGCTGCCTGCCCATCCCCTGCTCCCACGCTGAAGTAGCCCAAGCTAAATAAGGTTACCAGAACACTTGCGGTAAAGTGTCTAAGGACCCCTTGTTTTCCAATGTGAAAGACGTCCCTGCGATACAGCATTTCTGGACGGGCCGAGTCCCCACTTTCAAAGGGAACCCTGCTCAAGGGAGGTTCAACCCACTCTTCACTCCACGGGCGTGAGGCGAAACAGGTTGTCTCCCAGCTAGGGTGTTCTGAAACATCCTCGTAGGGCATGCCAGGCAAGCCCGCGTGGCACTCTGCGCACATCCCTAAATCCCGTTTTCTCCCCTTTGTTGACCAGGTTCGGTTGAGATAAGCGATGCGGTCGAACCAACGCATGTCACCTTTGGATCCGATAAGTGTTATTGTCCAACATCGTCCATGAGCAAGGACTCCCTCATAGAACAACTCCCGCAAACCTTGCGCCACTACTGTCAGAAGTTCATCAAGCGCTAAGGGATAAGGTTTGTAGATCGAGCACGGCAAAAGCCACAAACAGAAGCGACTCAGAAAGCTGTGCTCTGTGTTGCATGTTGTCTGAAAAGCAAAGGCTTCTGAATGTTCTGGGGCTTCTCGGAGAGAATTGCAAAACCGTTTCCGGATCGGTTCAGAAACTTCGCAGCTTTGACAGAAGCAAGAGTTCTTGCCCTCCCTCATGTTCTTCGCGCTGTGGAACCCAAGAATGGCCTCCAGGGCAAAGAGCGCAGTTTGGCCACGACGGACTCCTCTCCCTTCGTCCCCGTACACTGCAACTGGGATAGAATACTCAAGGCTGCTTTCACCATCAGCTTGCTGAAATACCACATGTTCAGGGTGTTGTTGCTTGTACGCCATCCAAAATGATTTTAACGATTTTGCTGCTTCTTGAGGATCACGAAGGCCTCCCCAAAACACTTCCGGGCAGTGCTCGAGCAAGTGCTGAACTAAATCCTTCGGGGCAAGGTATGGCAATGGGAGTATTTCACCATCTCCCTTGTGAAACTGGTGATAGCTTATAGGCACTTTCCAACGCAGCCCGGCTCTCTCCACCATCCTGTGCAGTGAGCGGGACGGGTGAGAGAACGGCCGCTTGAGGCCTGACTTGCCCAGCTCTTGCTGCAGATCATGGGCCAGGTTGGCCACTGTGTTGGCGGGAACCTCAGGCGCAGCGAAGACTGTACTTTGCCGCTGCGCGCTTGCTGCGGGGGAGCTTCCAAATCGAACTTAACCCAGCGTTGGCATTGTTCAGGCTTCGTTTTCGTTGGAAGGGGCAATTTTAGAAGTTGCGCTGACGTGTTGCAGCTAACTAAGTTCTTGAAATCAACCAACGTGCGAGCGGGTGGCCCCATCAGCTAATGCTTCGGCAGCTGCTTCGCATCGAGAACCACCAGCGCCAGCGCGTGGCTGTTGCCCTGGCACGTTGAATCGCAAAACCAAAAAAGCCAGCCTGAACTGTTGATGGTTCGATTCTGCGTGCAGCGCTATTTTGCCCCATGCGCACGTGCTGCATAAGCATCGCAACGATTCAGGAATTACTAAGTCTCATCAGCAAGTTTGGCAAGCGGGGTAGCTGATGCGTAACAATGGTTAAACAAGGCTCAACGGTAGCGACTGTCATTGCTGAACCCTATTGTTCAAAAACCATCCAGGCCAGTCTCTACCCCGTATGTCGCTTGCAAAATCCCCTTTGCAGATTGCATTGAAAATCATCACCTGCCCTTCTTAGCGGGTGGTGAAGCTGGCTTCTCAATCTTTGCCTTGGACTTTGCCTTGGGCTTAGCCCTCGCTTTAGCCCCTTTGGCAGAAGTGCGTTCCTTCTTTTCGGCAGGCGTCTTCTTCACTTTCGGGTAGAAATTCCTGCTGAAAGAAGCAGGCACACCATAATGGATGACTGTGCATGAACTAGTGTCCAGCCTTGCCCTATCCTCAATCCCCAAGGCCTGAATTGCCCTGGCCGATAGGCAAACCACACACCAATTGCCAATCAATTCGAACGTCCGAGGATGGTGCACTTTCTGCGCATCTTGGTAGAGGCTCTGGAGATGCGATTCTTGCCTGGGATTGTTGGCCGGGCTACAAAATCGAACTTAAAAAACTCCTTACCTTTTTGCTTTACCTTCCAAGTTGCTTTTTGGAGAGTCCATCCACAACACCATCCCCATAGATCTGAGAAATCTGATCGACTTTGTCGTTCAGGTCCAACATCAAGCTTGCCACCTTGTCAACAATCCTCAGCATGTGAAAGCAACACACTGTTGCAACCAAGTGTTACTGTAACTTCTTGCAAACCTCAATTGCAAACGAATTTCTTCTGTTGAAGCTCTCCCAGGTCTGGTGCGTTGAATTTCTCCTTGATGTCTTGCAATCGCTTCACCCGCTTGTTCAAGCAGCTCCTTGTTGGGTTAAAGGGAGGGGCACATTGGGCGCTTGATGAGATACAGCGAGAAACCTACTTGCAGCTATGAAACAGAAGCTTGGGGGCTTGGGAAGATGGCAAGGCATCGTCTTCTAGCTCCGGCAAGCCGGCATTCTTGCGTTGGCTTTTGCGGGATTCTTCCTCCGCCTCCAGGTCCACAATATCCTCGGCTTCCTCAACTTCGTCATCTTCATCAGGTTCGCCAGGCTTACCTGAAATGTTGGGAGGGGCTTTCACAAACTACCTTAAACACTCCACCCGGGTTTTTGCTTAAGTTGGTGAAGTTGTGAAAGGCATGACCAGCTATTCCGGCCAGTTTGTGGAAGAGGCGATTGCTTTAAGATGTTTCAATCGCAATCCAAGCCCCTAGGGACCAGCTTAATCATGTCGAAGGCTCGCTTTGAGGTCTTTGGCTCTGGCTTGGGAAAGGCTGAGGTGAGCGAGGGAACATCCGGCATGGCAAGGCTGCCGCTTGCACCTTGCTCCTGCCATTGAAGCCGACGCTGGAGACTGATCTTGTTGCTGTGCCTGAGGTTCCAGGGCACAGTAAAAACAGCAAAAGGCAGTTTGACCAGGTTCCCCAAACACGTCAAGCACCGTTTGCCATTGTCTACAATTCTGCAGGCCAATGTTTTCTTTGAGAACCAGGGCAGTCAGCCTTACAAACACTCTTGCCTTCATTTCAGTAGGTGCCCTTTTTGTTTTGAACGATCAAGGCATTCCGTGTCAAACACACCGTGCCATAGCCCCCGTGGCTAGCTCGTCATCAGAACAGATAAGCCTAACAAGTTTTTTTGCGTTGGCAGTCTGCACACAAAACAGCAACCCCCCTCTTTTGATGGTACATGTCATAACGTCAAGGTAAATATGGGACCTCCCTGTTTGACAAGCCTAAAATTTGGGTCGCCCTTAAAAAACAAACAGGAACCCAAAGTAAGCAAAACACTTGGTGAACTTGCAAGCAAATGCGTTTGCCTTTCTTGCGTTGCTCTTCTCACAAAGTCTTCCACTTCGAAACCAAAGAGTCTTTTCCGCGACCATGGGCCTAATTCTGAAAATCCACCGGGTTGGAATTCTCCACCAAAAGGCTCCTAATAATTAGGCCAGGGAGCTTGGTCTTGCCCTTCACTGCCGTCTCCGCCCAGAAGAGGGTTATCTGTTCATATCGATCTTGCCTGGCCAGGTCAGCTCAGGCGCGAAATCGGCCGGGTTCAGGGCTACAACTGGCCTCATCAAACGTCCAGGGTCAGTTTTGCAGTGGGCCACCACCGCATCGATGCGGGTCCTGGGAGGAGGGAGGGTTCCCCAAGGCAAAAAAAACGATACGTCCACCC